GAATTCTGGAATGAAATGATTCAGATTACATTTTTTTAGACCTCAGACCTCCATTTGGCCTTCCATTTTCGCACTGATACTTTGAGAGATCTCAGGAAATACCGAAGTAAAGTTTCAGACAGTAGAAGCCCAGAAATTTGGAAGCAGGACAGCTGATAAGCTATGAAGTGAGCAGGAAGAGTAGCTAAAACAAGGACCACACTGCTTTGCGTGGCATGATCCCTGCACGTTGCAGCCCACGGTAGCGCTCGCGCACAGGCCTGTGATTGTACTACGCGGCGCTGGCCCCGTTGAACGCATTGTATAAGCTCCTGCAGGACGAAGGCGGTCGATTCAATGCGCAACGCGGCTGCGACATGGCTGCGTCACAGCCGAGTCACAGTCGCGTCACAGCCACGTCGTACCTCGAACCGACCGCCTTCGTCTTGCAGGAGCTTATACAATGCTGTCTGTCTGTACATTCGAATAGAGTTTTCGAGTCGGTTGTTTCCAAACCTGCGAGCTTGTATTGCTCAGACAATAGTTGGGGACAGGTTGGCAACGGGCGCGCATTGCTGAGGTAAACGCTTTGCTGAGTTTTCGCACTTCGCGGATTTCTGGAAAAGGATCAGCGATTTTTTTGAGATGTTAGTTTGTTACCGTTTGTTGAAGCTTTTTTGCTTTGATTTTTTGTTGAAGGTTCTTACATATGAAGGATAACTCGTGGCCTTTCGGAATGTAATTGTATCACATTTTTGCCTTGAAACGCTGATCTCGAAACTATCTTCATTAGCTGCAAAACGCTTTATCGAGAAGAATAAGCGCTTGTAAAAGCGCCAACGCAAAAATATTTATAACGACCAAGATCAAACGGGCATCCATTGTGCAATAATCGCAATAGCGCTATAGACCATTCGAGACCTATAGCTCCTAAAGAAATTACTCGCACTCTTGTGCAAATACGTCAGATGAGAAGCATACTGTTTTTCCGAAATATCGTTCTGCAAATAAAGAATACGGTTTTGAGGTCAGCGTTCCAAGGCGAGTGTCATGACATATGTCACATATCGAAAGGCCACCGCTACCAAGTATCCTCTCCCTATTACAAGAAGCAAGAAACCAAAATCCGCATAGCAAAAACACCGCTTTAAGAATTGCGAGCGAAGTGCGAAAAATCTATTTTTTGGTTCCCTTCCAGGGCACTGTTAAAACATCTTGTAAGCTGTAAGCGGCCCATAGGGTGGTCGTTTTTTATAACGTCAGTTTGGAAGGTATGATTTGTAGGGTACTGGTAGCGCAGTACTTTTATTTTATGGGCATAAGACTTAAGCTATTTTTCTTAGTCAAAAGCTTGTTTGAGTGATTCTTTTGCGCACGAATGAATTTGCCTTGACCAGCTGTAAATGGCCCTTACGCCTCGGACAGAGTTCACGCGATTTGATCGTCGCGATTCAATCGCTACAAGACAACTGTCACGAGTTCATTGCATGCCGATCAGCTTGCATTTCGGTTGTGATACTTTCCCAGCTCGAAAGTTTTGAATATAAAATGACGAATGAAAATCGCGGCGATTAAATCGCGACGATCAAATCGCGTGAACTCTGCCCGAGGCCTAAGGGCCATTTACAGCTGGTCAAGGCAAATTCATTCGGGTGCAAAAGAGTCGCTCAAACAAGCTTTTAACTAAGAAAAATAGCTTAATTCCTATGCCCATGAAAAGTACTGCCCTACAAGTACCCTACAAGCCATACCTTCTAAATTGACATTATAAAAAACGATTACCCTGTGGGCCGTTTACAAGATGTTTTGACACTACTCTGCGAAGCACCCGTGAGCCGCTCATAGACCGATATTCTAACTAAGGACTGCTCATTCCTTCCCCTCCCCCTCCCTCCCTCTTCCAACAAAGTATTGTTGAAAAAACTCTCTACGGGCCAGTCACGCTTATAATTTGAAGGAAGCGCTGCCCTGTGGGCCGTTTACAGAGCGGTAGCTATGAGAACTGTTCTGTAACTCCAAAACCCAATTTTTGAAAAAAGCTGCACTACAGGGACGCTTACATACTGCTCTTCATTGGGACCTTATGCGCTACATGTCGCCTACAGAGCATTTTAAAAAGAACTGCCAACCAACCCACAGAGCAATAAAGAACTGCCCTAAGATCCCTCCATATTCAAAAACACAGCCCTAAGGGCCGCTTCCGATATTTATTGAAAAAATTTATTAACAGTGAGCCGCTCATCAGATCGATATTATCGAACGGAACTACCCTACAAACCCTACAAACCAATTTTGAAAAAAGAACTTTCCTGTGGGCCTCTACAGAGAGTTTTGGGAAAAAAACTGCTTTTCAAGTTCCTACAAATCTATATTCTGGGATGAAATTGCTCCAAACCGCTTAAATACTGTTACCTTGAGAAAAAGAAATGCCATGATTTAGAGACCGATAATTCAACCACACTACGAGCTTCTTTCACACCAATATTTAAAAATAATTTAGCCCTATGGGCCGCTTAGAAACCGAAATTTTGAGGAAGAAGCTACCCTACAAACATTCAGACAAATATTCTGAGAAAAAAGACCTTATGAGCCGCTTCAAGACCTTGTTTTCAAATCCTCTGCAAACCATTGGGGAGAAAACCGTAAGCCCTTACAAAACCATATGTTAAAGGCAGAATGAGACCCGTGGCAAAACAAGGTCACAGGGTAGAAGCCCATAATGGAACCTATGGGCCAAAGTTCGATCTTTCTCTGCCACTTCTAACCCCCGTAATTTCAAAGCGAAAGCAGCGCTCATCTCCTGTCCTCTCCGAACCCGCCCACCCCATGGACGAGTGACTTCCGCGTCAGAGCGCCAGCCGCAATGCTATAAGCATGAGGTCCCGCAACGACTCTGCGTCTTCGCCATGACGGGCTTCGCGTTCACTCGTCCATGGGGTGGGCGGGTTCGGAGAGGACAGGAGATGAGCGCTGCTTTCCTTTAAAATTTCGGGGGTTAGAAGTGGCAGAGAAAGATCGAACTTTGGCCCATAGGTTCCATTATGGGGGCTCCTACCTTGTGACCTTGCCGCGGGTCTCATTCTGCCGACCTACTGCCTTTAAGCCACATATTGAAGAGCTGCCGTATGCGCCGCCTACTGACCAATAGTGGTAGAAATGAATGTGCCTTATGGGCCGCTTACAGACCGATAATTTAAGCAATCCTCTACGAACCCTTTTCCAACCATTCAGGATTACAGAATGACTTGAGAAATTACTACGAGCTCCCTCCCCCCCCCCCCCCCCGCCTTACATTGTGAGCACAAGCACTCCTATTGAGTTCGGTACTGAGTCATGCTTTTTAGGGCGTGGCCGATACGCGCGGGGTGCGAGGAGAAACTTCAACGTCCGGTAACCGACCGGTGGCGCCTCTGATATCCCTGGGCTGCTGTTTGCCCCGTCATCATCGTCAACTCCGCAACCTACCAGGATCCAGTAGATTAACATTGTTTATATTCCTATATTGCCTTCTGTCGTTAGAATAATGAACCGGTCTACTCTCTACGTGTAGCTTAGCATTAGTGAAGGGCACATCATTTTACTGGTAGCAGCGAGTGTGGATAGTCGGACGGGAAGGACGGTCAGCTTGGGTGAGTTGAGTTTTGTTCAATGAGTCCGTTATTTGTCGACTTCGAAAACTGGCCATTTTGGAGGCCGACAATTTGAATGGTAGACAGAGGCATCTACAAGTTTTGAAGTTTCTCCGAGCTCTCCTTTTGTTTGGCATGCCTTTGTTTACTGGCGTGGTACACGCAGACGTCTGCAACATATTTGAATGAGTTTCAACGCCTATTTTGTGGTTCCGAAGCTTCGATTCTGGTTATTTGAAGGGGCCATTTTTGCTTGAGTTTTCCGCGCGCGGGCAAATCTGTTTGTGCTGAGGATCATGTTCGCTTATCCGTCGTTGCCGCTAAATGCAGTTGTGTGGGATTATGCACTTACAATATTCGGCATGCCGCTCGCCTCTGGGGAAGATGGAAATGCGGTCCTGTTTTGGAGGATCTATGATAGAAATAACGTACATTTCCCTGAAACTTGGAAAGCAATAAACTGCCGCTTTATTTCCTTTATGCACCAGGGGCCCTAGTTAATTATCAAATGCAGATATCTGCATTTGATAATTAACTAGGGCCCCTGGTGCATAAAGGAAATAAAGCGGCAGTTTATTGCTTTCCAAGTTTCAGGGAAATGTACGTTATTTCTATCATAGATCCTCCAAAACAGGACCGCATTTCCATCTTCCCCAGAGGCGATCCCGACCAGGTATCTCTGAGTCCCTTTATTATTAGATAACTTTTCAACTTGTCTGCATCGTAAGTGTTAGTTATGTTCTGTTATTCTATGTGATTGCTCGATCTTCTCTATATGCTCTGGTCTTGCGCAATCGCGAGTGTGGCGGAACGCCCTGATTCTTGCCATATGTTAACTACTCATCTTCATTCTGTCTTCGTCGCACATGGCCATATGCGTTTGCTCTAGGCCTTTGTAGCAAGCTAGCTTGTTCTTCAAATCTTTTTGATTCTGCAGCATCTTGTTGTTTCAGTATGTTCTGCAGTTACGAGCAAAACAGATTACGGTAGTGTTTTGAATGTAAGCTTTTCTTTCCCATGCAGACGCTTGTACTTAGGTTTTTCAAATTGAAACTATCGTATTTCTGTAGTAAACAGCTTTTCATCTGAATACAACTTCACGTGATTCCCATTCTTTTTCTTTGTTTGGAAGCTACAGTATTTGCCCTTTTGTTTTTGGGAAATTCTGATTCAGTCGATTTTTTTGCTCCTCCACGTTGCGAAGACCCTCCTACCAGTCATCTTCTTCGTTCTCGTTGCGGTCTGTTCCTCGCTCGGTTTTGGCGTGAAGTTAATTTCGAATTTACCCTCACGTACTGCCCTGAATAATTGATATGCTTTCAATACGTTATACATTGATACGTGTTGAATCACTAGGACTCTCTCATTATGAATTTCGTTGTTTCAGATTCCATGGGATCTCCAAGACCTCCAAAGCGATCGCGTGCACAGTCAGTGTCCAGGGCTGAAGCCCCGTCATCCGCAGAAGAATGCGAGTTCGCTCGCCGAGTCAAGCAGACTTTCAGTCAGGTTGCTGACGATGCGTTTGTCATTGGACGCGAAGTCAAGACGTTACGGGACGCAACGGCATCGGCGATTACAGATGCATGGAAGGACGCGAAGGCGGCCACCGTTACGTTGGCAAGGCAAGTGAATGATAGTAATCAATCGTTAATCACTAACCTTAATAATTCTTTCAATGCTGTGGGTCAAAGGATAGATCAATTGCCCGGGACCCCTCGACCATCAGAAGGTTCTCGACTACCTGAGATACCTTATTTTACTGGCGCGAATAAGGACCCCACACCGTTTTCGGTCTGGCTTCGTCGTTTCGACGTTATTCAGAATATGCGCAGCGTACCGTTGACACCAAAGCTCAAAGCTAACTATCTCATCGGGAGTCTTGACGGTGCTGCACGAGACAAAGTGGAGGAGTTAACGACAGAGCAGCGTCAAGACTACGATACCGTAGTTGCGCATTTAGAAAGATATCACGAAGGACCCCACAGGCGCAATTTGGCTCGCAGGTCCCTTTCAGTTTGTAAACAGGCGCCAGGTGAATCAGCTGCATCCTTTGCGGATCGCATCTTTCAGCTAGTACGCGCGGCGAACCCAGGTCAGGATCCAGCTAGGTTACAGGAACGAATGCTTGAAGAGTTTGTAGCCCGTTTGCGATCGGATGTGCGCTATCAGGTAGAGCTAGCCAACCCTTCAACCTTTCAGCAGGCGGTGGAGAAAGCGCAAATTGTGGAGGAGTTGTCACCAGTAACTGATCATCCTATACATTCTTTGTCAGCCTCTCGTAATATCCCCGTTAACACCATAACCCCAAGGTCACAATCACAACGTGGGCCTAGAAAAGTTACTCGCCAAAATATAAGGGCTTCACCTAGATATAGCCGTTTTCAGGGAAGGATATCGCCACGACCGCTTCAAGACAATCGACGCCCTGGTATTCCTAGTCGAACACAATGCTATTCTTGCGGAGGACTCGGCCACATGGCACAACAATGCCCATCCAAAGTTCGACGTTCCTCGGGAGGTACGCGTTCTTCAACCAATCGTTATCGTTCGCCTCGTACTCCTTTGCGTAGGTCATCTCCTAGAATAATGAACATCACTCCTCAAGATTCCTCGCAAGAACTTTTGGACGCTCAGGAGAGAATCAAAAACTTATCTGTTTCTTTGTGCGCTAAGCAAGCAGCTCTTGATGATTCAGAAGCCCGCATTTCGGCTTTAGTAAAGCGCAATGATAAGCTTGCAAACTCCTCGTATAACTACTTCTCCTCATCTCCTCAAGCAAAATCAAGGACTCTTCCTGATGTTCGATTATTGATGTTATGTGTGTTGCTTTTTTCGCTAATCTTTTGTTCAATCATTTGATTCGCCGGCGTGATTATGTCCAAAAGAATCCTCTGATGTGATCGCACTTGTGCCTTTGTCTTATAACTGTTCGCGCATCATTCCACGCGTCAATTCTATTCCAAAGTCATTATCAATCCGGGTCTTTCGTCCTAATACGCAGCGATATGATACACCGGCCTCTCTCTGCAAAATTGTTACCCGTACCGCTTATTACTCCGTGAATTTCTTTGGCGCGCGATCGGAACGTTACTCGGAAAAGTATGAGATTGTATCGGCAGAGGCTTGTAGGTACATGCGCATGCACCATAAGTGCGAGCATGGTTCGTTATCTGCGCGAGATGACTCCTGGTCAACTACGAATGAGTTGCAGCTCGAATGGCCTTCTGCCCCGTTTGGATGTTGCGTAACCCATTCAAAATCGGTCTCCAATTGCTATCTGCTAAACACGGTTATCCATATGAGGCACGAATCAGATTACCCGGACTCATCTGTTGGCGACTTGCGTAAGTGCCAGTACCAATCCGGCAACTGTGTAATGCCAGACGGATCGGCCAAATCAGGAGGAGTCCTGTCAGTACATCCCGATTGCGAGGATGACGGGCCACATCCTGAGTGACATCTGGATCAGCGATTCAAAGGAGTTCGCCTTGTCCTGGCACGACGATAGTCGACAAGTGAGTGATTGTGGCAAGGAGCTCACCATAACCGATCAAGGCTACGCAGTTATGATCAGCAAACGTCCCCCTCGTTCGTCTGGACCAATTGTAGGTGTAGTGACAACCAATCAGCTCGCAGCGCAACTTTTGGCGGTAGAAGATAATGTGGAAGTGGCCGTGGGATCCCTATTTTATCATGCATTATCCTCTTTATGTGATCGTACTAACTTGTTAGCTCTCGCCCTTCATTCATCATTATCATTGAACCCCACTTTCGCGATGCGAAATCTCTTGAATCGCCGCGATCTTGCCGCCTCATATCTGGGTAATGATCTACTACAAATCCACAGGTGTTTAGCTATTCCTTCTAGTAATTATAAGGTTATCCCGTTCAACGGAACTTGTTTCTCAAAACCAATGGTCGAACTGTCCCTCAATAGGGGGCTACTCTTCACTGGTACATCGATCCATCTACTTTTGTGATATCCCATGAAGCTAGTCCGACGGAATGCTCGTCGTTATCGCCGTTCTACTTTGCGGATCGGGATAAATACGTGAGATTTGACGCCGCGTTAGGACAATTCACTACCTTACCGCATGTTGAGACTCTGGCTTCCCCTCCTCATCTAAACTCATCTTCATTAGCGCTGCCGCTAACCATCTTTTATAATTTAGTTCTTACCAATTTGACGGAGCTAACCCAAGACCATCAGCTCCGAGAGCTCTGGTCGACCGTTGATCAAGAACGCCTTTTGCGCGTAGATCAGTCGTCGTCGCCCTTCGGCAACACTCACTCAGAGCATACACCTAGCTTTTCTTTATTCTCCTTGATCTTTGGTTCTTGGTCCTTGTTTGATATCTGGATTACATCATGCTCAATTCTCGTAACATTCCAAGTTGTCAAGACTGCATTTATTTTGTACATAGATCTCAACTACCCAGGCGCGCTTTCACAGTTCCGCAGAAGATTCTCTCGTAATCCCGCAGGTTTTACTGCTCCTGATATAACGGTCACCAATGTTGTACGCCCGCCGCCCACATCTATTGAACCAGTTGAATTGATTCCTCTTACAATTGATGCGACTTCTGCTTGGCCTCCGCGCGCATCTTTTAACCCAGTTAATGTTCTGGCTATTCGTGGCGATGATAGCTTCTTTGTCGCTCAGATACCTATCAAGGTCAATAATGTCAATATTCTGGCTCTAATTGACACAGGCGCGGTGATTACGGTAACCTCGAGCAGCACTGCATCATTGCTTGGCATCTTTGCCTTATTCGAAAGTGATATACCCGCAGCTTTGGGAATGGCTGGTATTCCAATCAATTTGATTGGCATAGCTCATCTTCGTTTCCAAATTGGTTCTTTTACCTTTAATCATCCAGTATATTTCACGGAAACCCCCTGCGTGCCGGAATCAGGGGGCTCTTACAATATCATACTAGGCAATGATCTCCTTTCCCGCCTTCCTTCTTGGTGCATCAGCTATAATCGTAGGCTCTTTACTGTGGCTGGCGAACAAATCAATATCTTATGCTCGGCTCCAACTCCAGCACCGCTTGTTGACTCGACAGTCCCTGTTCGCGTGGCCGAGACTACCGTACTCCCGCCGCAAACTGAGACTTTTGTTCCTTGCTTCTCTTATTCCAATGCCTCATCGCTGGTTTTAACATCGCAGCCAGCCACAGTTACTGACAAATATCTCATGGTATCTCCAGCCATCATTAGATCTGGGAAATCTCACGTACTTGTCGCGAATCCGTGCGCGTCGTCGTAAGTAGTTTATCAAGACCAACTAATTTCATCCGCTCTCCCATATTTCTTAGATGAAGACTTCTCATTTATCAAGGAAATAAAGCAAGCCTAGCGATAGCCCATTTCTAGGGGCTTTGAATATGGCGGAACGCCACGATACCCGCACTAATTTTGTTGTAGACCTCTCACATGCAGAGGTTTCGGAAGAGGAACGAGAACAATTGCGAATACTTTTCCAAGAATTCAGTGATAGAATTTCCCAAGATTCCTACGATCTTGGATCCTATGAGGATTCCTCTATAGTTATCAGAACAACCTCCGATATACCACCAATGCGTTTCAGACCACCTCGTATACCGGTGAAATTTTAAAAGGAGTTAGATGATCACATCAATAAGCTGCTGCGGGCAGGGAGGATAGTCGAAAGTGACACGCCGTGGGTGCACAATACCGTCTTGGTGAGGAAAAGAGATGGCTCTCTTCGGGTATGCTTGGACTTTCGCCCATTGAATGATATCACCATACCTGATCACTATCCTCTCCCTCGAATCGAGGACATCATTCTGGCCAAAGTAGCTGGCCACAAGTTCTACACAACCTTGGATTTGGCTTCAGGTTATATGCAACTATTACTCTCCCCAGAAAGTCAGGAGAAGTGTGGATGGGCCACTCACAGGGGAATTTATCAGTTTGTTTATCTACCTTTTGGACTCAAGAACGCTGGTGCTTATTTCTCGCGTGCTATGTCACGCATACTGGGAGGATTAGAGGACAATTGTTTAGCCTACTTGAATGATATTATCATTTTTAACAAAGATTTTCCTAGTCACTTAGAATCGTTACGAAAAGTCTTCTTCCGTTTTCGCCGATTCAACATGAAAGTTTCGGGAAAGAAGCTTACCGAGATTGCTCGTACTAAGATTACGTTTTTAGGCCACGAAATCTCCGGACATGCCTATTTCCCCGCGGACCGCAATTTGCAGGCCATCCGCGATTTTCCCACTCCAACGACCATCAAGGAAGTGAAAGGATTTGTACTCAGACAATCAAATGCTCTCAGCCGGCAGCCACAAAGCCACCGCCTAGACCCACCAAAAGCGCGGTGGCCTCATCGCCTCACTGTCGCTTCCCGCTGAGAGCTTTGTCGGAGTTTTGTCGGAGCTTGTCGGAGCGGGCTCAGCGGGCAGCGAGCCCGCTCCGACAAGCTCCGACAAAGCTCCGACAAAGCTCTCAGCGGGAAGCGACAGTGGCTGCGATAAGGCAACGACGCTTTTGGTGGGGCCCGCTGAGAGCCTGTGATTGTCTGAGTAGGTATGGCCAACTTCTTTCGCAAATTCATTGCTAACTTTTCACTTATCGCGGCTCCGCTGTATGCGCTACTCAAGAACAAAGCAAAATTCGTCTGGGGATCCGAACAAGAAGAAGCTTTTCAACGTATTAAAACCTTACTGCTTTCCAAACCCTGTTTGGCATTTCCTGAGGACAAGGAGTTTTCTTACATACGGATGGTAGTCAGCTTGCCGTCGGCGCCGCTATTTCAGAAGCGTAAAGACGATTGTTTAGTAGCCGTTGGGTATTTTAGCAAAGCTCTTTCGGAATCGCAGTAAAAATGGAGCCCGACGCATATCGAACTTTTTGCAATTGTTAGCGCGCTAAGATTCTTTCGTGCCATCATATACGGTAATCATACTACCGTATATTCAGATCATCGCACACTCACATACCTCTTAAAACACAACAAAACTCATGACAACTTGGCGCGTTGGGTGGTTGAATTGCAGAGTTACGATATAACTATAGATTATCAAAAGGGTTCCTCGAATGTGGTTGCTGACGCCCTCTCTCGTGCAGTAAATGAGCATGTTCGCTTTCAGGATGATAGCCCTGAGTCCACAGATATCGTTGAGTTTCCAGTCAGTATTAATTAATTGACACCCGCTGCTTACTCTCTCCGGCCAAACACTGTTTATGTGGGCACTTTGACAGCTATTCGTCCTTATGATGCTTTGGTTGAACAAAAAGCTGACTCGCTTTGTTCCCCGATCATGACTTTTCTGGAAACTCATCGATTCCCTGCGGACCTTCCCGAAGAACAGAAAAGCTCTTGGCTCAAGTTGGCAGAGTCTTGCGCAATCAAAAATAATGGGTGCTTATATTTTGTGGATGCGGATCCGAATTCCAAATTTCGCTATGAGCGCTTAGTTGTCCCAAAGAAGCTTAGAGAACCAATCTTTCCAGCATTCCATTCTAGCCCTTCGGCAAGGGCCACTTTAACTGGCGCAAAACTCTAGCCAAAATTGCCCGCAAGTATTTTTGGCCGCATATGTCTGAAAACATTTTCCTTCTGGCACGTTCTTGCGAAGCATGTCAACGTAAACGTGCTCAGCAAATGAACAAAGAGTTAATGATACCGGTCACTGCTAACGGCGTATTTGAAAAAGTATACATTGACCTCACCGGGCCCATCCGTACTTCTGAGTCCGGTAATAAGTATATTCTAGCCATGATTGATCACTTTACTAAATACGTTATCGCTGTGCCATTACCGGACTGTACCGCGATCACGGTAGCGTACGCGGTGATGACTGAGTGCATTCTCAAATATGGCGCTATGACAGAACTAGTATCGGATAACGCGGCGTATTTGCAAGGTGAGGTAGTTTCCGAAATTGGCCGGTTGTTACGTATAAGTCGTTATTTTACAACGCCGTATCATCATAAAGGCAATGGTGCTTGCGAAAGGGTTTTTGCTACCTTCCATCCTATGTTGCGCACCTATATCAATGAAAATCAACTCGATTGGGATAAGTATGTTAGTGCGTGCGCTTTTATGTATAACACTACCGTCCACACAAGCACTAACAATACACCATTCTTTCTCATGTTTGGCAGGGACCCCATTTTTAATATAGATCTGCTCATTAAACAGGACCTTCAGCCGCACTGGCCAACAGATAACGACGCTGGGATATACGTGAAAACGTTAGTTACAACTCTCCGCTGCATGGCGGTCGGCGGCAGCGTTCAATGATCAACAGCGGGAGCGATTTAAATACCAGTATGACAAAACCCATCTGCATCCCATTGATATCAAGGTTGGCGATAGAGTTTTCCTCAGAGACTTTGCTCCCAAGATGGGCCTGTCGCAGAAACTACGAAACCCTTGGTTAGGCCAGTTCCGTGTAATTGCAGTAGAACATCCGCATTTGACTATAACCAGCGTCTCCTCTCCACAATCACCCGCTAAACGGGTCCACATGAATCAGGCAAAGAAGTGCTTCATGCTTTCGGGTCCAGTTTTCACATCACCGTGGACACCCGACGAGGAGCAGCAAATGCTAACAGACACTAACGCAACAGATGTCACTATTCCAGGTTGTTCGCATGCGGTATCTGCTCCCACGGAAGAAACCCCGATTTCTCCTTCACATCGTTATGACACTCGTTTCAGATCACGTCGGATTTCATCGTAAGCTGATGTCGGACACGACAGCTCATTCTACTGCTACCGTTTCATTTTTACTTTTCAAATCTATATACCTTTCCTCAATTACACAGTTTTCATGTACATTTCACTCTATTCCAGTTCTCCTGTTCTCGAATTTCTTCATTATAATCCGCGTTCAATTTCAAATGTGCTCGTTGATAGTATTTCCCATATAACAGTTTGTTTTTCAGAACTTGAGTAAACCCGACAATCTTCCTTCAACGTTTTCCACAATGGCGGACGATCCCGACGACGACAATTTGTCCAAACCCACAGATTCAGGGAAGTCCATTGTACCTTCTACTTGCCGGGAACCGGCCGTAACAAGCAACACATTTAATACCACTTTATCTTTGTCCCTAGATAGCCTTACCTCAGCTTTCGCTCAGGGCGTATCCTCTTCTACCTCTCTATCTCGTTCGCTTTCCTCTCTCAAAAAATCCTCTTCAACCAGTCGCGTAGCGGCCGAACCAAGCGATAAGTCTAATGTCGACGACGAACCGATGGACACGTCGGACCCGGCCAATCCTGCTATATTGACTTCGTCCTCTTCATTAGTCACTTCTGCGGCTCCGCCAGTTTGTGCAACGCCTCCACCACCTTTGCCGCAACCTGACGTGAACCAGACGACCACGGCTACGGATATCCTGGAAACTCAACCATTTTCTCCTGGTATAAGCCAAGCCCAAATGCACATGTCAGCGAGCCATCTTGACCTCTCGGAAGAGGCTCTGTTAGCTTCGGATTCTGAGTCTCAACATTCTCATTCCTCCCGTTCTTCAGGCTTTCAACCAATGGACATTTCGTCCGGGAAGTCTTCGAATCTAGATCTGTCAACCGCTGACGACATTCCATCTAGTTCACGTAAGCGAAGTCCTTCTCAGATTTGTTCCTTTTCTACTCCTGAGCTTGCTGACAGTCCTCTAGTTCCTATTGATCCATTTCCCATGCGTAGCATGGATTCAATTCCCGTAAATGAACCAAGGATAGTGCGGGGTCGGGGAGTATCGGCGAGGGCTGGCCGCGGAGAGGTTCTCGCCCGACGCGAGATTCCAAGAATGTGAAGCAACGGAAGCGAGGATCGCAAGCGCAACGAGGATCGCAATCAGGTGAACTTCCAAAGAGGATTCCTATTGGTTATCGTAGCTATCTAAGCGGCCTCCACCCATGGGCTGATCTAGTTATTCTGCGTCCCATGGGACATCTCCGCGAGCTGAATTTTCAAGTGAGTAACGTTTTGTCTCTGGATCACTATCGTCAATTGCCTAAACCGGGCTATCATAACCAGAAATTTGCTCGCTCACTGTTTCCTAAGATTACTCTTAATTCAGATCTTGAGGAGCCTGTTCCGTTCATAGAATCACAGCATATAGAAGATGCGGTAGCACTTCGCCAACGCTCCGAACATGTTATGCATCAAGTGCTCTCTAACACCTACCGCGAGTGCGATACAAGTCATCTCGAAAGACAGCCGCTAGGTGAGCACCCTACTATCTTAGCACCGCCGGTGCTGAATAATGTTCGTCCAGTACTCTATCAGGTTGTTTCAACTGGCTGGGGAACCGGAATAATTCTTGAGGCAAAAGATTTCTTCGTCTTTGGGCCAGATCGCCTTGAACTCCATTGCATCATCCTTGATAATTTTGGTATCAACTTACTCTCAAACCATCGGGCTTTGATAAGGGCATGGTAGCGGTCAAGGATTTTGTCTGGATTTACGATGTGAAACCGTCGGTTCAAGCGTTGAGGAACCCGGAGGGAGTGCTCAGGCAATCCCGCGATCCGCGCACAACGGCTCTCGAGAATACATCGACGTTCTTCTTTCGAGCAGATTTATTTGCATTTGTTACCCCCCATCGGTTAGAGAGGCCCATTTACGGAATAGTCCTTTTCACCACAGTCCGTCGGAACAGGATTCAACACTTTCGTGCTACTTTCCAAGGGGCACCGGATACCGTGGCAGTAGGGCCTTCTGTATGTGGATTCAATTTGCAATCAGCGTTCGAAAATCTAATGGTCATGGGGGAATCACGTCATAACGTTTCTTGCGCCATTCGCTTCTCTGAACCTCCGGTCTCCGTTGAAGCTCGTAATCAGTTGTGTCGATGGATTCGCCGACTCATGCCGATGCATCCTGACGAAGGCCTCCTTCCAATCACGGTTCACCATCTCCCACCGCAGGAGGCAGAGTTTCTCGAGGATCGCGCTCGTCGATTCCAATTATTTCTCGATGATACACCTCTGGCAATGCAGAAAATGTGCAATTTATTCAACGTGGCGTGTTCGACACTTGCTTCAATTAACTCTTTGTTCGACGACCGTCAATCCCATTGGGTTACGGGGTCTATTCCCAACATGACAGCTGGTCCGATCATGATCGACTTCGAACTCCATGAGATGGCTACCGAAGCGGGCTGAACAGTCCATCGCCCAGTCATTTTGTGGATTGCTGGATCATCTACGATAGCCTTCACAAAGGTTCGCGCTGTAGAACACCGTTCTGAATCGAAGATTTTAGCTGTATCCATTAGTGCTTTTCCTTGGTCTCACGGTTCCATCATGAAGAATGTTCGGCAATTCGCAAGGCGGCTCGACGGCGCCACCTTTATAGACATTTGTGTTCGTCTCGGCAAGCCACTCATTACTGCCGACCCTGCCTACGAATGTGTCTCTAGAATGGACTTGTATGAGGAACTTAAACGATCCACCACTGCTAGTCGGATAACAGAAACCACTTACGGGCTGCGTTTCTTGGATTGCGCAACTGAAAAAGAACCAGAGCTGTTTGGTCCCATAGATGAGGGTTACACTTGCAGCCTTAAGGGTAGAGAAGTAGTACTCACGGAGGATCAGCACAAAGCCTTAGCCTTGGCTCTCAGCGACTTGCCAATAGTCGCCATACAGGCGGCGTTTGGGACTGGTAAGACTGTTGTGGGCGCTTTAGCAGCTGCCCTAATTGCAAGGAAAACCCCGGTGTTAGTGACTGCTTCCACAAATGCTGCCGTGGCTCAATTTGCTGGGACATGGTTGTCCCTAGATAATCAAAATCATCTTGCCGTGGTTCGTTATCTGTCGGACACTGCAGCAGCCGAGAACAACTCCAACTTCGGCCGATTTGGGAGAACTTCTCAAGGAACTTGGAAATCGGTATGCAGAACAGTTGACCGCTGACGAGTTGGATTTGTGCAGCGCCTTTCAGTCAGGAAGGGAAGTCCTTGAACGATATCTAGACGACCCTGATCTCGTGTTTCGCATGACGGAGGAGGATCGGGAAGAGTACTTCATCAGTGAAAGGTTCGTCTCAAGAAACGTGCAGAAAATGGTAGACTTATTGTTTCGCCTTATGAAACCTAACGTGATCTTAGCGACGACATCGTCCATGTTGAACGTTAGCGGTCCAGGGGGTATCTTTAAGAAGCACGTGGAAGGTTTCAAGGTGTTAATTGGTGATGAGGCTTCACAGATACCGGAACTAGTGCTAATGGCTTTAGCGGTCCGCCTACCTGCTCGTCGGCACGTGTACATAGGCGACGTTCATCAGTTGGAACCTCACGCCAAGTGGCCCCGCTCATCAAATCCAGTGCGTTTCGGGGCACAGAGCGTGATGAGTGTGCTGACAAAAGCACGCGCGGTTCCTGTAGCCCCTTTACTAACGACTTTCCGCGCTCACCCGGATCTCATAGAGCTGCCGAACCGTGTGGCGTACAATGGCGAACTAGTTAGCGGCTTACGGCGAGAGGATCGGCAAATGCTGCTGTCGGTAATGACTTTTCCTCATCCCTCGATTCCCTTTATGTTTGTCGATGTCCCCTCAACTTCGACAAGGGCTGCTAGCAAATCGCTCTACAATGAGGCTGAAGCGCTCGCGTGTTGGGACTAGTTGACCGATTGTTCGGAAAGGGCATAGCTGCGGATGCCATTTGCATAATCACATTCTATAGAGAACAATACCGACGGCTATTCTCAAGGGCCGTGGAATTAGGCGTGGACTTGTCAACGGTAGATTCCGTCCAAGGACGTGAAAAGGAGGTAGTTATTATTCTTACGACACGTACTAATGTTGATCCTAATTCAGCGGAGTTTCTGGACGACTACCGAAGAATGAATGTGGCAATTTCGCGATGCCGTCATGGGCAATTCATCCTGGGACATGTCCGAATGCTACAAAAGATCCCTTACTGGAACAGGGTCATCAGTTGGTCAACCTCGATAGGAGCCATCGTCAGCCGATCTGACCTAGGACGGTATTTCTAAAGACTATTTTGAAAATCCACGGTGAGTGCGCTTTCAAATTCATTTTCATTACTTGTATATAGTTCTTTGTGTTCCTTTGTTTGTGTAGCTCCCTTATTTTTATTCATTGTAGCATTTGTTTCAAGTCCGGGACGGACTTAAAATAAAGTGGGGAGGTGTGAGTACAAGCACCCCTATTGAGTTCGGTACTGAGTCATGCTTTTTAGGGCGTGGCCGATACGCGCGGGGTGCGAGGAGAGACTCCAACGTCCGGTAACCGACCGGTGGCGCCTCTGATATCCCTGGGCTGCTGTTTGCCCCGTCATCATCGTCAACTCCGCAACCTACCAGGATCCAGTAGATTAACATTGTTTATATTCCTATACTGCCTTCTGTCGTTAGAATAATGAACCGGTCTACTCTCTACGTGTAGCTTAGCATTAGTGAAGGGCACATCATTTTAATACATGTCTGAGAAAGAACCGCCTACGGCCATGTAAAACCCGATGATAATGAAAAAATGCCTCTATGTATGGACCACTAAACCGATTTTCAAAAAAAGAACTGTCCCGCACCTTCCCCCCCCCCCTCACATACAGATACAAACACGGGACAGAGCTGCCCTATAGGGAGCTTACAGACATACACTGAGTAAGAAATCCCCAATGAGCGCCTGCAAACCTTATTTCAAAAAAAATACTATGAGTCGCTTATGAACCGAAATCCCCAAGGAAGTCAACAGGCCGTTTTGTAAAGTAAGAAGCTCTAGAACTGTCCTATGGGCTTGTCACAAACCGATATTATGAGACAACGAAAGAACTGTCCTCATCAGTCATCAACATTAGTCGTTGTACGCCATGGGCCACGTACTCCAGAAAATAAGAAAATATGAATAGATTGTGACATCACGTACATGAACGTAGAATACTACAGCCACCAATCTCTTTGATTCAACGGGATTGGCGGCTGAAAAGTGACCGCTTGCACGCACGACGCAGTCTGCGTCTCTCTCGGCGTGCCCTTTGATCAATCCTTAGCCCTGATTAGGTATCGAAGCCCGCCTTGCAGCGCCAATCCCATTGAATCAAATGGTACTTTGGACCCATCTCAAAAGAACAGTTTCGAAATCAGCCATACACACAAGGTGCAAACTTGTGAAAGAAGGGGGAAGAGGTGGTTAACAACTCAACGAGAGCGTCGGCACCTGCGAAAACTACAAACTTTTTGCACTTAACAGCAGTATCCCCCCCCCCCCCAAAACACCCTTCGGGAAGGAACGATGCTTACCCGTAGGAAAACACGTGACCCTTGTTAACAAATCTGTACTCTCACCCTTCGCAATCATTCGCCTCATTCCGCAATATGTCAACACGTAAGTGGATTTTCAGGTGTATAAGCCGCAGGGTTTTTTTAAATCAACCCCAACCACGCAATGACTTCGCAACCAAGGACCCTGTACCGCGATACTGCCTGAGAGGATCGTGCGACATAAGGATCCCTTTACGAACACAGTCAGGTGGCTAAGCAGCTGGCTTGAAAATTCGAAAAGGGTGCGGCTTATATGTACACCTGAAAATAGGGCAGTCGAATGCTTGAGCTGCGCCTTTTTTTTTGAAAATTTTCGATCGCTCCATTCTTTCCCGATTTGAGAATAAGCAACCTCAAGCTGCATTCGTCTTCGTATTTTTAAACGTACTAATCCAAACTAACTTACTTGTTTTCTGTGTTTGTGAACGGTAACATACTTGGTCTTACTTGTAATTATCAGGCATGTCTGCAGACTTCGCAACTGAGCCGAATGATATCAAGATTGTACGATTGTGTTTGTCCAGGAAGGAACTCAACTCCTGAATTGACAACTGTGCACAAACTTAAAACACATTTTTCTTTCGTAACTGTCTTCACGCTCCCACTTAGGCCCGTATGCAGTAACATCCCTACGGCAAGGGGAGCGGCCCCTTGATGAAAAAGCCACAGAGGCATCTGCATGCGGCCCCTTCATAACGGAGGACGCCGCTCTCTTTGCCGCACGGATGATAGTACATACGGGCCTTGATCACTGCAGTTGATCCACTACCGCACGGACTGGACATCACTGCGGAGCACGCGCCGAGAGGTGAAGCTTGCCCTAGTTCAAATGAGCCATTGTACAAGTCGTGCTCCCGCGACAATTCAGCGCGCCGCGAGTGGTCCGAGCGTTTGAGCAATTCATGCGGTCAACGAATCGACGACACTTTGCTTTCTGTTTTCATGATACTCACAAGTTTGCATGACAGTGCCACAAAGTTACCCAATCGAACTTTTGATTATTTCCGGATTGCTGGATTATTGGGGTAGATATGTTTTTTATGCATAGCCAGGGGTATTGGTCACTTATTGGTCAGCCGCGGGTATTGGTCAACTACATGCGCTTAGCTACCCTGGCTATTGCAAGATTTTCAAGGAATAAGTGACCAATATCCGTGGCTATGCATCAACGAACTCTGAGGTGAATTAGCTTGAGAGCGCCTACTCGTAATCAGTTGACATCTCAGTGTGATTTACCTTGAAACATTAACCCTTATTTACTAACGTACCTCAAGGTAGGATTTACATTGAGGTTTAGATGAATTTTACCCTAGTGGAGCAAAATCGACTTTACCTTGAATTCAAGAGTTGAGCCAGTTTTGCTCATTTCGTGGTAAATTCCACCGTGAAATATGTTGGTGAATGGAAAATAATGGCTCAAATGTTTCACAAGCCTTGAGCCGTCAGCTGAATGTTACACATATTTTTAGGAAACGTACTGAACTACAGGCAATTGATTGAGCATATGGGTATGCGCTCTCGAGTTTTATTTTATCTCCTATTGTAGACAAAAGAAAAACAAGAAAGAATTTACATTAAGCTGATATAGAATTGAGCTATCAAACCTTATTTAAAGGGAAGTCTTTGTGCAGTTTGCGACTAATTTCAAAGCCTCCTATCATGACGGTTTTGTGCAGTGTTGGACGTGGGAAATCCAGATACGGATTACTTCTCGTGAAAATGAACGATGTCTGTGCTATCAGCTCCTGAAGCAAATGGAAGCTTTAGCAGAAAAGAGATTGATGAAAAAACATAGTGCTAGAAGGAAATCTTTAAAACTGTCTCAGAGTGATTCTTCTCTCTGAGCTGTGTAAGCGATCTCTTTTCATTTTAGCAGCTATGCGTGTTTCTGAAGCATGAGGAAGAATAAAATCCAACTAACGTAGTGGTCTTTGAAGCTACCGTATTTCTGTCTCAAAACATCAATTTCTTTTTCATTCACGTAATTTGAGATTTCTCTGCCAATAATCAGCGCAAGAACGTTCTGCAACCTTTGAGAAAAGGTCATTCTGTCTCCTGTAGTGCTCATGAGGCCTGAAACAAAGGAAGTAAAGCGTTTACCCAATTCACATATCAAAAGTAGTAAAGTTGAAAGCTGTGAAAAGCAATTTAACCAAGGCAAGCCGTAACCTGTTATTGTTGTGGCTTCACTTATACCTGAATAATTGAAATTTTCGAACAAAGTTTTAACACTATCATTTTGCGCATAGTGCATATGGGCGACACTTTCTCCTTGCATTTTTGCAGACCACATCTCAAAAATGCAGCACAAAAAGCGGTTTTTGTCAATGTCAGAAAAGTGCACATTGTAGATTAAAAATTGATTGCGAAATGCCGCAAAAGAGCGGTTTTGATAACATCAACTAAGTAAACTACTTCTCCGTTATTCGGACCCATTTTTTGAAGACAGATATCGCTTCCTTCCTTGCAGCATAGATGGTCCCAGTTTCTTAGTAAGGAGTGTACCTCCTACACGTGTCAAAAAAAATTTTTGACATGTCACCTACATGTTTAACAGATTTTACCAAGAGTTTGTGTTGACCTACAGGGGCTTTCAACCTGAGTGTCACGTTCGACGTGGTTCAGATCCTCGAGAGCGGCCTCGCTTGGTTCTTTCACGTGGTACACTACCGCAACCGTTACCGCGAAGGCGTTAGCGGATGCAGTATTGTGCCACGTGAGAGACCTAAGCGAGGCGGCTCGCGAGGACCTGAGCCACGTCGACCGTGACACTCAGATTGAAAGAATTTGTACATAGCGACGTGTCCAGTACGTTTTCGATCAATAATGAATCAATTTTTGATTGAACAATTTTGGAATTGTTATAATAATGACGTCATCGTGTTATTTTTTAACACACTAGACGTGCCCAAAATATGCAAGCACCAGCAAAGTACTTCGAGCTATCAGTTCCTGCCTAAATTTGCAAAGCGGAAACAGGTTGAGAAGACAGTTTGAATCATTACTGAAGCAATCAAGGTGTTCTAATACAAGTTTCAAATTGTTTACTCTCATAGAAAACTGCTGTGCAGCTTTTGAGCGATTACAAATGCTCTTTTACCTCATCGGAAATTCTTTGAAAAAAAATTTCCAGGTGAACAAAACATATCAATATTTTCCTGACACGTGGCAAAGGGCCAGTCTTCGTAGAGTCTATGGAAAAATAATCCAGTTTGGTGCAAAAATGGGTCCCAAAAACGGAAGAGCACCAATACTTGAGGTAATCTTTTGCTGATCTTTGCAAAAAGATCAATTATTTGAGATTTTTACAGATGAATGGTTCAACATGTACAGAGAATACCAGTTTATCTTCCTAAGACAAGAAGAATTTCTTATTTCTTGCCATAAGAGCAGGGACTCAAATTGTAACATCTACCTCTCATCTTGCTCTCTACCATATCTAGACAGTTCCACTTACTGGCAACTATTTTGAACGATGTGATTTTTTATCTATACTCTATCTTAGTATCGCTACTATCACTACGTAATATATAACGAATTCGTTGTTTACCCATTAAGCCGCCCCATAGTTGGATCATGGCAAACGAGGAGGCCGCAGACGTAAAAATTATGATGAAATACACTGATCTTTGGAAGGATTGCTGCCAAGTGGCTTGCGTTTTGGAACGCTGCCAAATTTCAAAACCAGTGACCAAGCATATTTTCGTAAAAGGGTCACACGTATTTCGAAAGGCAATAATGAGTGTCGCAATGATTTTGAGATGATTTTGAGACTGGATCGCCAATGTCCGGATGTGATTGAACCTGCTTTTTTCTCGAGCTTGTTATCCTAGAATATGTCTTCTAAATATGTTGTACTCCTATTAGTTGCTTTTGAAATGATGCCAAATTGCGTAATAGCTTGACTTCTGCTAAATTCATCTATGTTCTCAAATCTTGGTAAAAATGCTCTAACTAAGAACAGTCACTCTAGGATTATCTTGCTTCCGCGTGTAAACAAGAGAGTGCGTGAGTAACTTGGTCTCGCTGGTACTTTTGAAAGGGTTTATCTAACAACAGCCTTGCTTTGCTTGTGTGACTGGGTCCCGCTGGTGCTTTCAACTAGGTATCGGTGTGTAAGCGGCACGTAGGGCAATTCGATCGCGCAGGGCAACAGAGTTTTGTGCGTTTGGGGCATTTCTCAGAATTGAAAGTCCTAAAGTGACATGTACTTGAGAATACGCTGTGAATACTTGAATTCGTTGTTTTCTCTTTTTGAGTCGTAGTTAGTTTTTCTTATTTATACGGTCTTTAAGTGGTACATAGGGCATAAATTGTCTCTTTGAATAGTTATATCGGTCTGTAAGCGGCACGTAGGGCTACTCGATTGGACAGGGAAATAGATTTTTGTACGTTTGGGGGAATTCCTATAATTTTTAAACGGTCTTCAAGCGGCACATAGGGCATAAATTGTCTCTTTGAATGGTTATATCGGTCTGTAAGCGGCACGTAGGGCAACTTGATCGGACAGCGAAATAGATTTTTGTACGTTTGAGGCAGTTAATATAATTTTTAAACGGTCTTCAAGCGGCACGTAGGGCATAATTTGTCTCCTTGAATAGTTATATTGGTCTGTAAGCGGCACGTAGGGCAATTTGATCGGACAGATAAACAATTTTTGTACGTTTGTGCAGTTCTTATGATTGACGATCTTTAGGTGGATCAGTAGTTGTGCTTTTCGGGGAGGGATCTCTTTTTGTAGTAAAGCTTCATTTTCCTTTCGCGAAAAAAATTGAAGGATTCTCTGACAAAGTTCTTGGACGATTGATTTCGTTGCTGTCGGAATTGATTCTGAGAGAAAAGTGTTTTTGTAGTACACAATTGTTGTGGGTGTATTTCTACTTCCAAAACGATAGATGTTCTGCTACTAACTTAGCGATCTTTTATGGAACTTGTTGAGAAGAACTGGAAGAGCAAATTCTCTTTGAGAGGGTGGAAAAGTGGGGGGTTTTTTTCATCTGAATGTTTCTGTGAGGAGGGGAAATTCAAGATAACGTGGTGAACAAGAGAAAAATAATATTCTCCATGCATAGTTGTGGCAGGAGTCTCGAGAAATGCTGAATGATTTATGGAGATTACCGCTTCTTCGAGCAGTGCTCCTTTTGTAGATTACTTCTCGCAAAAATGTTCTCAGGAAAGGAATGGGAAACTCATTTGAAATATTTATAGTCACAACTAAGCCCTTATATTGTATCTGCCCCGACCAACTTGCTAGCGACCCGTAGGGTCGTTAGTCTTATATATAAAGCTGAATGTCTGTTTGTCTGTATGTATGTATGTATGTATGTATGTATGTATGTATGTATGTATGTATGTATGTATGTATGTATGTCTGTACGTATGTTCCGAATAGAAAATTCCATTTCTGAACCGATCGGGACCAAACTTGGCACACATACACTTCGGGCCCCGGCGGGTGTCATAGGCTACTTTTCGTCATCGATCGATATCGATGACGAAAAGTAGCCGAAAAGTAGGCTGGGGTAATCGAGCATGCTGATCACCCCCACGGGGGTGATCAGCATGCTCGACTACCCCCCTGTGCCAACTCCCAGCCCCGTAGCTCAAATTTCAAAAAATCGATAAAATCGATATCGATCGATGACGAAAAGTAGCCGAAGTGTATGTGTGCCAAGTTTGGTCCGGATCGGTTAAAGGCACCGTCCACCCAAAGCGAAGTTGATGAGATTTCGGCGGCATACTAGTGTGGGCCCCCACACTAGGCAAACCCCCAAGTAGCGCCGCAAAATACTCCTTCCGAAGCGAGAAATCCGCTCCGGAAGGGACGTAACCGGAGGTGGTCACTCCGCCCACTTTGCAGGCGCGCTGATATACGCAGGGCGTCATTAGCAAACTAGTCATGGGCAATTGTGCAATCGATTAGGAGTATTGGGAAATGTTTGCCCCAGTCTTGATCCAGGTTCCGCGTATTTAGCACATTCACACAGAAAGCAGTGAAAGCAAGTGTTTTAGCACACAGAAATGCGTGATAGTTTATTGCGATGATCCATTAGTCATGTAGACGGCGTCAACGATTATTTTGACTACAATAGTTTTTCAATTTGATGTACATTGCAATGAAAAAACTCACGTCGCATGTTCATCTCGTTTTATTGAGCACAAGCGTCACCTATAACGAAAGATCGTGTTCATATCAAGAAAAACAGCTATGCCGATGCTGATGATGGCTATAATCGAAAAAACAACTTTGTCGTAGATTTGGTCATGACTGAATAAAAACGAACGGTTGAGGATACAAGTACACGAAATAACACTAGAAAAACTCCGATTAGTCGCCTACGACGAGGCAGCGTACTGCGCTGTGCGTGTAGTCTCTCCAACGGTGCGCCTGCAAAGTGGGCAGAGTGACCACCTCCGGTTACGTCCCTTCCGGAGCGGATTTCTCGCTTCGGAAGGAGTATTTTGCCTCGCTACTTGGGGGTTTGCCTAGTGTGGGGGCCCACACTAGTATGCCACCGAAATCTCATCAACCTCGCTTTGGGTGGACGGTGCCTTTAAGAAATGGAATTTTCTATTCGGAACATACGGCGGAGCCGGGTAAGCCAGCTAGTAAAGAAATGAAATCACTACGAACCTGGCACATAGCTTGGAAAGGAAGGTTCTCCTATTGCATATGTTACGGAGTCTAGATGAATATTGCTCAGCATAGCAATCGTGGTATTGATATTCAGTGCTTCGAAGAGTGCTTAAATATCACAGTTAGGAAAGACAATCTGAAAAAAACAAAACCATTCTTGATGCTTATGGCCAACAAAGCGTAGGTTAAAAGTACAGCTTGTTAGCACATATTTATGATTGTTTTAGAAAACTTGCCCAATCCGCATACGTAGTAGGCCTCTGCTACACCGACATCGAACTTCTCTTCTCGTAGCGATTGTAGCAAATGTTCATCATTCATAAGATCTGTAATGGTATTTCAGGATATCGTTAGAAAACGTTGAAATAAATTAAGCTTACACTCGCACTGATATGTTAGCATGTTAGTGAGATTTTTTGTCATCTGTAACAAAATCTATTTGATTATTCGCTATCTCCCTAAGTTCCAAAAATTCGTTCCTTTCACTCAAAGACGTATCCTCTTCATAAGGAAAACTTCTCCATTACTAGCTAAAGTTCACTAGAGGTAGATCAAAGAAGGTGTTTCCCATTGCGTCTCACGAAAATTACTGAGAAAATGTCTGACATAGGATGGAGATTTTATATCAAGACTCTTAAAGTCATAATTGAGCGTCCAGTTTCACATGCGAATTTGGGAATATGGCCCCTTTGCTAAAATTCCGCGCTTCAAATTTCTACTGAGCAATTTTCCTATACAGTGCAGAATGTTTGGCAAAATCTGACTATCTTGAAAATTTCAATCACTTCATGAGGAGAATGACGTATTCATATGTGGCATCTCGATGAACTCGAAAACAATAGGAATGGATTAACCACTCTTAATTGATTCATGACAAATTGTCTTCGAGAAAATGTCGGTGGTTGCATAGTCAATGAGATTAGGCGAAACATATTGCATAAAATTTAGAAGACAATTTCTGGTTTAATCCCGCCCTCAGAAAATTTAAACGTGTCATTTTCAAAAATTCATAGATAACTCACCTTCCACATGATCATTGGCGAGGCGCTCAATGACCACACATTGCGGAGTTCAGTCTTCTTGCTCTCTTTCAACATCTATAAGAATCATTTCATGGACATTATATAATCTTACGGGCTCTCAAAAATTCGCTGAGCGGTTGATCGTTTATTACTTTTTGTGTTTGACTATTATTGACTATCGAAGCGGAAGATACGGTTCCGTCTCGAACTTTGATACGGAAATGGGGAGGGGGCGGGGATGAGAGCGAAATCATTGAGATCCTTCCTTGAATTTGAGACAATAGAAAATGTTTTGAAGCAGTTTATATCTGACAAGGAAAGGAAGGTTTGTCGAAGAAGCATTCTAATATGAGATGGATACTGCTTCGGAGATATAAAACGCTGATTCCAAATCTACCTTTCATATCTGCTGCGGGTTTCAGGGCGAGGAATTACGAAGGTTTTTATGAGCAAAAATTTGCATATGCAGCTAGGATAAAATCACTCGTAACTTTTCTCAACGGCTCAAATGATTTATGGGTTACCTTACGCAATAAACTACCCTATTTTCAGGTGTATAAGCCGCACCCTTTTTGCTGTAAACGCGAGCAGACCCAGGCCTGCCGCCGCGCATATGTCTCGCGAAGCGGTTGCCTTATCGCATGCTACTCTCATTTAACGCGCTCTATGATGACAGTCAGTCTTTTGGCGTGTTCGCCTTTAGAGCAAAAAGGGTGCGGCTTATACACCTGAAAATAGGGTAGTACGAATCTCTGATTTCAAGTATACTTTTCTTATCTGCTGCGGGGTTTTTGAGCAAGAAGTTTTGAGGATCTATATGACAAAAATTCAATGCATGATCGGTATAAATTCAGTCGTTGGCTTTTCTTAGCCTTCCGAAGTGGAGTGTAAAGTGGATATCTTTAAGTTAAGAGACTCTTGCTGACTTGCTCAAAAACCCCGCAGCAGATAAGAAAAGTATACTCGGAATCAGAGTTTTGTACTCTTCAGGTCAGACTACATTTCATTCAGAAAAGCCACTTTAGCCTTCCTTATGCTGAGTGAAACTTCGAAAGATTTCGGTTGCACTTTTGTAGAGGGAACTTTCGCGCTGTTGCAAATCCAAGTTAACGTGGTATTTTTTGTGCTATATAGATGATATTCGTTGAGGAGCTTATATACTCCATATATGTACTGCACTGAAAACGTTGCGCAGCGTATATTCTTTTCTAAGCGTAGCCCTTTAGCAATTCCGCAATTTTCACAACAGAACCGCAGAGGCAGCTTCTACCCAACTCTCTCTCTTTATGTTTTATTATTTTCATCCCTGCTCATGGCCCTTGTTACGAATATGATTCTGGAAAGTGTGGGGCTCTAACTCTCCATTTAAAAAAATGTCGGATGCAAGGGTTACTAATGACATGCGCGCCTCTGAAAGTTTTGATCATTACGTCTATTTTTTGTTATTTTGGAGGAAATTCTTTGTTTCAGAAGCAACTTTTCGGCACGACCAAGGCGTTGGCTTGATGCCCACTACCGTATGACTAAAAAACTCATTACTCTCAGCATAATGTCGTCAGGTTTTCAATAGTTAATCTCAAACGTATGGCAAAAACTCTGAGCGCTATTTTCATATTCAGTTGCAGCTCCTCCAATGTGACGGCAAGAAGTTCGAAACGAATGCGAGATTATCAAGTGTTATGCAATTAGTGTCCTTTTCGGACTTTGTTTAAAAACTCCATTCACCTTCACAGCACGAGGATCTCCAGGAATGCGTATTATTTTCTTGGTCAGCTCAGTACCTGTTTGGTTGAGGTAATCTTCCTCGATCTCAGGCATTAGAATTGTCTAAACAAGACCACATATTTTCATGTTTTATGGGCTTTGAATGAATTACCACTTCATGTCCTCCTTCTGTTAAAACATCTGACAAACTGCCGAGAAGGTTCAAATGACTATATCCAAAAAAGGGGTTGTAGACTAGATATTTGTAAGAGGTAGAAAACGAGATGATTGCAATGAAAATCAAGCATGGAAACTTCATAGCAAATAATCCGAAGATTCTGGAATATAATATGAGACGATTCGAGCATTCTCATTGATAGAGTAAAACATTTACAAGTTTTGTTTGATCTGAAGATGACGAATGAACAACGAGCATGTAGACGCTTTGACCAAAACACTAATGTTTCTTTATTACTAGGTCCGGGAAGAAAATCAAATTTTAACATAAAGGTGCGGACTGCAGATGTTCATTTGACTTGGTTCTCTATCAGTCCCGCGATAAGATAACTGGGAGAAGAAGTGCGTGCATCACGATATCAGAATAGAGCAGAGTTTATTTTGAACGGTTGGCTCAAGTAAACTATTTGCAACATGTGACTGCTATTGAAATTAGGCAGGCTCCTGTCCTTTTAGTCCAAACAATGACTTAGTATTAGGTTGTTGCAAAAATAATGTCCGTTTTTCTAGACCTATATTCCAAGCAACTTTTTTCCCATCAGACTTTCTTTTTCGATATAGCATCTGCATATCACTGGAAAGCTCTCTTCATGTACTTTCTCATGGCGGTAAAATTAAGCTGCTATCCTCACTTGTGCAAATTTCACCAGCATTTTCCGCATCCGCACTCAAAGTCAGAATCTCATAGCTTCCACTTTCTTGACCACAGTTCAGGAGGAAATAAACGAATTCTTCTGAAAACATAGCAAGTGTATTGAATGAACATTGCTTACCTACTGCATGCTTATGTAGATTTTTGGAGAAATGTGGGCTGAGAAATTGACGCGTCAAAATAGACACTCGCTGCTGGCATTCTATGGGTCAGAAATTTCTCATAATTACGGTAATCGCCAAAGCTTCGCCCATCTCTGTAAGCTTGAAGTTAGCACACCTTAACTACATTATTTGAAGAGAAACTTAGCTATTCAGTGCGCGAAGAATTCCAAATTTTCATATTTAGGCACTTACAAGCCTACAACAAATAGGCTTGAAGAGTGAACATTTTTGAATTTTTATCTTTTCTTCTCGCAGAACTCCTTCGTTGGAGTTTTTTCTATACACACCTATACTATTGGCCTGCGGCTATAAAATAAGCTAATTAGCAGACATAGGGACAAAGCTTGAAGGGAGTTGTAAGCTCTTGAAGACGAGGTTTTTAAGAGAAAAACTTTCAGTTTTCTGACGCATGGTTTTCTTCCCTTTTGCGATATCAGTATGGGCAGGGGCGCGCTAAATTAAGAAAGGTTTGATGTTTCTGATGATCTTGACTGCGTTCAAAAATATGGAGACTGAACGAAGTTATAGCCTTCCAAAGTGAAAATTTGCAAAACGGACATTATTTTTGCAACAACCAATAGAATTTTGCAAATCAGACTCATCCAAAAAAAGGTTTTGTGAGGAAACTTGTGTACACAACCTTAAACATTTATTAATGTCATATTCCATATTGATTTATCAAACACAAAAGTACTGGAACATGCATAATAGTTGCTGCTGTCAGATTGCACTTTGAGAAGGCTTCATGACTTCATCCATAAGGCGCGGCGGCGAGCACAGTGGCGGGGTTCTGCCGGCATCTGAATAGTAAACATAAAAAACAAATAGTAAACCTAGAAAACATCCCGAAGAAATTGGCTATATCACACAACAAAAACCACTAGCTGATAAATTTCCAACTGGCCTTCGCACATGGGGACATGTGTGACACTCCGCGCTACATTTGGTCGAGTGGACGTAGTGGCGTACGATGACTCAAACAAGATTTTAATACGGACACCTATCAAGGAAGGACCTGACCACAAACCTGAAAGGTCGAACCTGCAGAGGTACCCGTCAGGGTAGTTGGTGTGGGTAAGACTACCTGTCCCTAAAAGTTCATTCTGATCCCGTTACCAGAATTTTCGTTATTGTGTATGTTACCGTGCTGCTGCTGCTGGCGAGGACGGCATTTGTGGATCCACTTTGCGAGCCAGCAACGCTGGAGGCAGGTCCCCGTGATACTCCAGTCTTCACGTTATCCTTGGAAGCAGGTCTTATAAATGAAAGCCAGCGTATTTGTGGGCATAGTTCTTATTTTAACCCTAGACTGCGCGTGCGATCTGCTTTTGAACGATTATGCATTTCGGCTTTTATTGGAATCCGCGACAAGTTTTGTCCCATTTCTTTCTTTTAATTTTTTCTTAAAATTTTGCACGGTGTTTTGACTAATGTTTATATGCATGTGAAAGCCTAAGTCTGCTCTGCAGATCAATATGCGTCACATTCAACTTACAGGGGAACGATACTAGTAAGTGGCCTTTTGAGATAAAATGCATACCGTTACCTGACTTCCGTTTCTGCTGATCGTTTTTCTGAAAGAAGTTATGAAAGATTTTCGCGCCAAGTTTGGCCGCGCGAGGTACATATTAACATGCACTTAATTTCCGTTCATCTTCATTTTTATAGGCACCTTTTGGAATAAATGTAGGAAACACTCATATAAAAATGACTCCTCGTTAAATTTTCAGAGAGTAAGGGCATGCGTTTACCTCGAGGAAACCTAACTCTCAAAAAGAAGCTTAACTGAGGCAATGCAAAACTGAAAACCACAAAAGGATCTGAATTTACACCTGCATCAACTTGTGACGCTATCGCATTAGCCACTACGTCACAGCTACCGGCGGTATTGGTGTTCCTATCATATCTCGGTAGCCAAATTTTGCGCGAAAATCTTTCATAACTGTTTTCAGAGAAATGATTAGCAGAAGCGGAAGTCAGATTCGGAATCAACGTTCGAAGACAAGTGTAATGATGTACATTTCATTTCAAATGGCCACGGACACTAAGTATGGTTCTCTTTTTAGCAGGAAATTCAAAAAGATTTTCTGGCATCAAAACAAAGAAATCGAGGAGGCAAGAAATCCATTTTCGACATCTTTTTTCTTTCCAAACTTTCCCGTTTTCCATTTTCAAAACTTATTCAACAAGCATGACAACAAATAAAACAACCTACTGGACTTTTATATTTGTACTGTCACTGTTTGCGCCTGTTCCCTAACTTCTACCGTCTTTTCGATGTCAATTAAAAGACGGCAAAGCAAGCTTTATCGCAGTAATGTTCGTCATCTCACGTACCTAAGCTGTGCGGCCCCCAAACTTTGAATTTTCTTAGTAATTGACCTATGAATTCGATAATCCTGTGAAAACAGACCATCCCTGTCTTTTCTGGATTGTCCATCTACCTTCCACTCTAAGGAATGCCCTCAGATGCCCAACGTCAACATGAAAGACGTTATCAGACTTTATAAAGTTTACAGAGAAAATTTTCAAAACATTTTAGCTCACCACTGAACAACTCCTGAAGCGCTGCATAAAGTGTAGTTTTTTATCCTTGCATCTGTCCCTATACGGGGTCTGCTGCTCTTGTCAGTCTCTTCCATTCTTCTCTATCTACGACTCAAATTTTATCTAATAAGTTCTCTGAGATCTGCTTTGACTTGGTCCATCCATCTTAGCTTTGCTCTTCCTTGTGGTCTTTTTCCGGGAACATTCACTGACATTGCTAATCTTGTGATGTGTTCTTCTTCTCGTCTTCTCACGTACCCGTACCATCGAAGTCGCCGCTATTGTAGCTTCTTGACTATCGGAGCTACTTTCATCGTGGTTCGTATTGTATCATTCATGACGTGATCGAGCATGGTCATACCCATCGTCCATCGTAGCACAAATGTTTCTATCACACCAAGCTTCCCCTCGTCGTTACGTGTGCTTAGCCAACACTCGCACAACCCGGTTGGACGGATTACTGTGCGATACATTTGTGATTTCAGCTTTTGTGACATCCGTTTGTCCCACAAATTCCTGCTGGGCTCCTCCATTTCAACCAATCTGCGCTTATCTGGCCGTTTATCTCGTCGTGAAGCGAGCCATCTGCTGAGACGCGACTCCCCAAGTACTTGAACGACGTGGTCTTCTTGATTGCTGTGTCTGCGCTCTGGATCGTTTCTGGCATTTGACGTCCCAGTTCCATGTATTGTCTTCGCGGTACTGATCTTCAGACCGTGCAGTTCGAGTTGCGTTTTCCACATCTGCACATCAGTCTCCAATTCTCTCCTTCTTCCGCCATCAGGATTACATCATCTGCGTACATAACGGACCATGGGAGTGGGTGTATGAAGTTTCTTACTATATCCACGACTGTGATGAAGAGATTGACAATACGGAGCCTTAATGCACGCCGATGCTTATATGGAAAAGTGTGAGCGTCTTGCTGCTGTTTGTATGTGACTGGTGACTCCTTTATATATCAGTCTGATCCAACTGACGTATTCTTCTGGCACCTCTGCTTCCGTAGTTTCCACCATATTATGTGATGTGGTACTCTATCGAACGCCTCCTTTAGATCGAGGAATGCCGCATGAAGCTCCCATGCTTTTCTCTGCTTCTTTCCATCATTATTCTGACGGTTTGGATGGCATCGGTTGTACTGCATCTCTTCACGAAGCCGCATTGGTGGGGAGCCAGATGTATGGTATTTCGAAGCCGCTTTTCCAGTATTTTTTCGAGGATCTTCACGTGTGACCATAGGTGCGATAGGGGGAGCCGGGATCTCCCCAGGTGAAGGGGGTCTCGGCTGTTCCCGACCTTCCAGGGTGAAGGGGGTATGTGAGTCTAGGGGGGGGGGGAGGAAGAGAGAAAAGGTAAGAAAGCGTGGTATGAAAAGCTCCTATTGTACCTTATTTAGGCACAAATTGAAAAAAAATTTAAAAATTTTCAAAAGAAATTTAAAAATTTTGAAAAAATCTATTGTGAAGATCTGTGCTCCTGTTTCATTGCATCAACAAAAAAAGCAGTAAGGTTTATCCCAAAAGATGTACAAGTTAGGAACAACTTCATTTCCTGCGCATCATCATCAACAATATCACTATCGCTAACGTCAGAGACAACAAATTCGGTGCCTGAAAAATCTTCTTCTTCCTCCAAAAGGTCATCGGAGTGGAAGTAGAATTGCGTGCAAAGCGTTCTAAGTCAAAAATGGATTTGAAACTTTCTTCTTCTTCTAAGCACTTTTGTGATTTTTTTCCTGGCCCTCTGGTAGCACAAGGAAGTCAGCAGGTAGGTGACCAGTTACTTCATACCATCTTTTAGGATATTTCAAAAAGTCATACGGTAACAGCCTGTCTGGACCACTTATACCAATCCTTTAAATGAAGTTTTTAGATAACAATGTGTTTAGTATAAGGTTGACAAATCTTAAGTATTTGCTTAGATGCTCTATCGTTGTACGACTTCTGCGTTGTGCTCTGATAACAGAGTGGATAGAAAATTTCTCTCTTCACCTCTGCCGTGCTAGTCGGAATGGAAACTAGCTTTGCTAGTAAGTCCATCAGATTTTTGCGGTAAGTAATGGGAAAAGAGCCAGATCGCATATGCTTTCACAACACGAGAAGGAAATAGTGCATACTTTATGGGCCTTTTCGAACTCTGGCTTCACCTCCTCTGGCATACTTACTGTTAACTGACGGGAAAGCTGCTCAACTTCTTCTTCAACAGCATCTGCGGAATAGCCGAAAAAAAGTAGATATTATGCTGCGCGTTGGTTTTTTTTCAACATCATAGGTCATAATGTCACAAGGCGAATAACTTCCAAAAGCATAAAGCACAGAGTTGGATTCGCACTCCAGCCGGGATTTAAATGCAGTAACTATGCTTTGTACTAACACCTTCCTTTTGTTCATATCCATGTTTGTGAATTTAGCAGCCTTGAATTCTTCAGCAACCTGAAGATCAGCAATGGACTTCCTGGACATTTCCTCATTGAAACTAGACAATCTGCTTGGATTCCTTATGCAGGAAATCAGAGAGTTTCACTCAATTGTCAACTCTGTGTCAATGTCGACAACATTTTCGTCGGCGTAAGATTCTCCTTCTGCCTCGCTATCGAACTGAAACACATGCGAGTCATCTGCGATTTTGTAAAGTATTTTGCCTGCCGTTTCTTCTTCAAACTGCCAACCTTTCCAAAACATTGAGGGATAATTTAATAACATGTTATTCTTCTGAATGTCTTAAAGTTTTTGATTCATTGAACCCAACCACCTTCTCTGCAAATTAGGTAAGGTGAGTCTAGAGCGTTTTCATGAAAGTGACCTTCTTCAGCACTAGGTTTACAGAGTATAGATTCCAGAAATGGGCAGGTTTTTGTGTGAAGGTGTGGAAATTTACCAATCTCCCCCAAAAAAACATGAACATATAACAACGATAAGGACGCTCAAATAGACGTGTTCGCTCACATTCCCGTTAGTGCTGATGACGATGTCAATCAGCACATTTTTTACTATTAACTTGCTCCACCTCGCTCTTATTAGGTCGTCCAGAAAGTTTTTGCGCTTGAATTTCAAAATTCATAACTTCTGATTTTTCCAACCGATTTGACTGCTTTCACTTTTATGTGAAAGGGTAAGTCATGCTTTTTATAATGACTTCTCAGCTGCTTAGTAATGGTCATCTGTTGCATAGATAGGAGCGATAGAAGAGAAATGGTAAAAATTTTAATTTTCTGTGTAGGATCATAAAAAATCGGAGGCTTGCAACAAAAATCGGAGCATTCAGTACTGTAGGATCTTTCACCAGCTCTTTCTAACAGTGCAAAGTTTGCGCTGATTGAGCGTCTCCATGAAAAGTTATGATTTCCCTGAAAAATGCCAAAATAAACAAATTCGCCTTTTTGTATTGCTTGCTCGGAAATCATAACTTTTCATGGAGACGCTCAATCGGAGCAAACTTTGCACTGTTAGAAAGAGCTGGTGAAAGGACCTGCAATACCGACTGCTCCGATTTTTGTTGCAAGTTTCTGATTTTTTATGACCCTACACAAAAATTCAAATTTTGAGTGATTTTGGTTTTGAGCTTCTATCTATGTAACAGATGACCATTACTGAGCAGCTGAGATGTCATTATAAAGAGCATGATTTACCCTTTCACATAAAAATGAAAGCAGTCAAATCGGTTGGAAAAATCAGAAGTTATGAATTTTTGAAAATTGTGCTCAAAAACTTTCGGGACGACCTATACAATGTGTTGGCTTTTATGGGTTACCGGAGAAAATGATTTTTAGAGCCGGGAAGCAAAGAAGCCCTAACATGCTGTATACCATTCGAAAGCTGAGATCATGGAGAATCGACGTAGACCGTCGACTTTTTTCTAGGTCTTCTGTGCCGCGAGATATGAGGGATTTTATGTGCTTCAAAAATTAACTGATTTTGTGTCCTCACTTTCTGCTCTCCAAATGAATGCTACGAGAAAGTCGACGGTCTACGTTTGTTAATGAAGACTTGCTCTTTAACACAGATAGATAAGCAGCAGTGATTAGGTCTTCATTTGGCAGAAATCTGCTGTTGAAAATGACCATGTTTTCAGATAAAATGCAGTGTATCTCTCGGTAGAGGGGGGCTAGAAAGAAGTCGACGGTCTAGGTCGAATCCCCTTTTCCTGAGCTTTCGAATGGTATATAGGTTGCTGGGCGAAAAAACGGACCAGTTTTCAAAAATGGGGTGGAGATATTTACTATTAGCTTGCTCCAATCCGGCTCCACCAATGTATTGGCTTTTATCGGTTACCGGAGAAAATGATTTTTAGAGCCGGGAAGCAAAGAAGCCCTAACATGCTGTATACCATTCGAAAGCTGAGATCATGGAGAATCGACGTAGACCGTCGACTTTTTTCTAGGTCTTCTGTGCCGCGAGATATGAGAGATTTTATGTGCTTCAAAAATTAAGTGATTTTGTGTACTTACTCTCTTCTCTCCAAAATGCTACGAGGATAAATAAATAATATAAATAAACATAAATACCGTTTCTTTAGTAAATTTATGAGTGTACTTGTTGTTTGAGGTACCTAGCCTGCTTTTCATAACGATTTTTATCATATTCTCAGAGTACGATACCAATCTCAGCCCAGGTGAAGGGGGTCATCGGGAGTTTGGCCTCAAAGTGAAGGGGGTAAGATCCATCACTCCCCCTATCGCAACTATGCGTGTGACACATGAATCTTAGTGGTCTGTACGTGCAGCGGTCGGCTATGTCGCCCTTGTTCTTCCATATTGGTACGGTCGTGCTCCTGTACTACTCGTCTGGCATATTCCCAAATTCCATTATCTGGTTCTGAAGTCGTGTAAGCCACGAGACTCCACACCCCTTCCAGAAGTCATTGGAGACGTTGTCTGGACCTTCCGCCTTGCCGTTCTTCATCTTCATTATTGCGCGGTTTCTGCTTCTGTAATAGCTGGTAGTGGTCCATTCACAGGATCGGCTGTTAGGGTAGACGCGTATTCTGGTTTAGCGGACACCAACTCTGCGAAGCGCGCTCTCCATCTTTCGTTTATCTCTTGTGGCTTCCTCAGCATTCTTCCGTGTGCATCCTTGATGTTGTGGAAGTGTTCGATGTCTTTTGTAGCGTTGGCTCTTCTTCTGGCAATTTGATAGATTTCTCGCTCGCCTTCGCGAGCGTACAGCTTCCTGTATAGTTCAGCTACATATGCTTCTTTAGCTTCTCTGATACTTTTCTTGGCTTCTCGTTTCGCTTCCATGTACCTGCGGTGAGCGTCTTCTGAACGTGTCTTCTGCCATGTTCTGTATGCCGCCTTCTTGTTCTTTACCACGATTTGCATTTCTTCGTTCCACCACCATGTTTCTTTCTCGAGCTTCTATCTTTCGGGCTTCGTGCGGCTTAAAAGTCCCCTGCTATCTGATGAAAATTGTCCTTCAAAAGCATCCAGGAGTGGTTTAGATCACTTTGAATTATAGGCAGGGCAGTTTCCATTGGCGTTCTGGTGTGGGCGTTAACTTTAAGCTTCCACCATTTGATGCGTACTTCATGTTCGGTCATCGCCCTTCTTCTCCTGTCTATTGGGATATTGAGATCCAGTATTAATGGCCGATGTTGATTCTTCATCTGAGATGACTTTGTTATCCTTCACGTACTTGAGCTCGCTGTACCGTATACTCCAGAAGTCTGTCTGCGACTTGTGGTCACCACTGGCGTTCCTGACGAGGTGGCTGGTCTTCTTGATGACGTATCCGCGGTTTCCATGGCACTTCTGTATACCACTTCGTTGCTCTCCGACATGTCCATTAAAATTGGCACCGATCAGTAACATATCTTCTTCTGGTATCGACATACTATCAGGTTGCTGCCAGAATTCTTCCTTCTCCGCATCTTCACATCCCGCTTGCGGTGCATAGGCCGTCACTACTCTCTGCATAAGGTATAGTATTCTTTCTTCAAGCACAGCAGATTTTTCGAGCTGTTTCGTGCGCATTTTGAACAATTTAGAAGGCGCGGTAATGTAGTTGTCAAAAATGGATTTTTTTCCTCTTTAGTTTTTTTTTGAATTTAATGCTGGAAAACTATTTCAAATCATTAGGTCTTTTGAGAAACAGAAGCGAGGAACTTGATAGAGCGTTCTTGAAGCTGTCAAATGCATTCAAACATTTTGCAAAACACCGTGTAAAATAATACTGAGAAAAATCAAAAAAAAAATGAGACAGAAATCATTACACATTGTGATATTTTCGAGAAGGAAAACATTACAATCATAAAACAGACAGAAGCCATTCCTAACTACTTTGAATTTCAACATTTTTATTTGTCTTTGTCGGCATAACGCCTGTTTCGTCTTCTTTTTCAAACCCCAGAACATTCCTAAACTACTTGTATCTCTCATGCAATGCTGGTGTTTTACATGAAAAGCCAGTCATCCTATTACAAATCGCAAAAAAAACGTGTCCGGAAAACCATCTTTCACCAAAACTTCGAGTGAAGACCGCGCGTTGTGAAAGAACGCGCGGATGGCTTTATTATTAGATTTTGAAACCTATAAAGCTCTATTTTTGATGAAACTGTTTTAGTCCAAGTTGTTCTGAAAGTCAAATTTTCCGCTTCCTAGCGGTTCTTGGAGCAAACATTATCGCTGGAAGATTACAGTGATAGCTGATAGAGGGATACAAATGTATTTCCGCTGGAACTTGATTCACTTCATAATTTGCCTTTTCTACTTTCTCTATGTAAAAAAAAACTTTTGTTGATAAGACCCCTCTACCAAAAGTTGCGACTTTCATTTTGGTTCAAACTGATTTTTGTGTGAATAATACAACACTTAACAAACATTATTTTGAAAAAAAAACTACTCAAAAATCTGATTGCTTTTTGAGTACTTCAATCATTTTTATAGAACTTTGATGCACGACTTATGGGATGACCTTACAACATTTTTGATCATCTTCAGTAAGCAAAATTCTTTGCAGATTCATACAAAGTGAATCCGCCTCATTGACCGTACTATTAATCAAGAAAGTTTGTGTAACTCGCTTTTATCGTTTTTTCACTTTCACAGATTTTATCAGACTTCCAACTCCATGCAGCTCCTTTTTCAGAACTCAACCAAATTTTGTTCCAAGATTTCAATTTTTTTTCTTGGACTATAGCAAAATCTCGTGAAACGGAGGAGAAGGAGCATTCAATGATAAATGCATCAATGCAGTTTATTCTTAAGAAGCATGGTTTCAAACAAGCCTTCCTCAAAAAATTCTTGACGATTGTCCTAATCTTCCACTCATTACTTTCAGCATGCCAACATTCCTGATTTCCAGTTATTTTAACAACAGATCGTAAAGATTGGATTGTGGATTAACGGAGAAAATTTTGCGTTATTCGGTACTGCTTTTTGATACTTCCACTCTACTATTCAAATTCTTACAAAACTTCTCTTGTAGGTTTTTTTCAATAGAACTAAAAGCATGAGCCCAAAGTAAACTGCACTTCATGGATAATGCTGATTATCTTACGAAATATAAAGAATACAAGCTGAATCGCTTCAAGTAATCGTTTGTTAGAACTCCAGTGTGCTTTTGTACTATAATCATTCAAAAGCGAAGTTCCTTTTATAAGCGAATGATTACTGATAGCTTGAAGGAGATAATCAGAAGAATCCAAATCAACAAGAAGAGATAGCACAAGCACAACTCTAAGTTTTATTTGCTCTTTTGAAGGTTAAAATAAAAAACTTGTAATATATAGATCCGAAGGTATTTCACATTTTATCAAAGCAAGCATCAGAAGAGAACGTACCGATTAGAAAAAGAATGAAACTAAATTAACTGATACTCAAGCGCTCAGTCGGTACCTTCACGACAGTTAAAAAAGCAAAAAACTTTCTGGCCGACTCAAACCTTCGATTTTTATGATTTTTTTTTTGATTTTGAACGCAAAATAATCTTTATACAAAAATAATCTTACTGATAAAATCACTGTTTTTGTTATCAAGATAAATTGATGAGTAAATTCTGACATACCGTGGTCTCCGCACTTCTAAACACCGATCTTGACGGGGAATCCCTAGAACGGAAACTGGTACTTGTTGCTTTCGATTGATCGCTTAGTGACTTCTGATGATATCTCGAACTTTTAGTGACTTCTGATGATATCTCGAAAAGCAATTGAAGACTGCGTTATACAATTTAAAATCTTTTCAGCATCCAAGCTCGTTAGATTTAGGGGCTGCTACTAGTTTTGTGGTATAATAAGTCTGTATGTGTAAGCTAGGTATTTGACCTCACCTACTCAATCACATTTTAACACTAGAGTGATATGCACTTACGCTCGTACACGAGAGCACCGAGTGTTTGTTACTGCCCTCTTATAAGGGAAGGATACCAACGTTAATTGGCGATTGAAGATGAGATGTATATCAACAGACGCGCCTTTAAACGCTGATACCTAGTCTGCCTTTGCCTCTTTTTTGTAGAATAAGTTTCCGAAAGAAGTTGTGAACATTTGAACGTCCAATATCGTCACGGTTCATATGGCTTAAAGTTGGCGAAAAGCTTTATAATACCACCGAAAATTAGAAAATCAGTTTTGTATCGAGCATACTGTTTCCATGGAATGAACAAAGCCGGTCGAAATCGCATAGGTATTGTTTTAGAGCTTTTCTTATTTTAAGTCAGTCAATGCTTGGCAAATTTGGACATTCAAACGCCCACAACTTCTTTCGGAGAGTGGTTACGCAAAAAAGGAAAGCAGATTTGAAATCAGCGCTCAAAGATGTGTCTACTGATATGCATTTCATCTTCAATCGCAGACTAATGTTGGTATTCCTTGTAGGAGGTATTTGTTTCTACACCTCAAACTTTGAACGATTACAACTTTCTCTATTTCTCTTCTTTCTCTTTCAGTCTATTGTCATAAAATAGCTTTTGCTGTGTTTAGCATACACTGGCAATTTCTCACGAAGCTGCCCGCATTGCATTTAAATTCGCTTTCTCATTGTATCGTTAGCACCTGTGATCCTTGCGGCGGCGACGTACCCTTAATCATGCGTGCGTTCTGTTGTGTTTATTATTGTGCTGTTTTTAGCCAACTGCGATATGTACGCCAATGCGTAAGAGTTGTATTTTCGTATCTCTCAGACAATTTGTCTGCTGTTTACTGTATCTGAAAACAACTGACGATCAGGATCAAAGACAAGAAGAAGCTCCACCGATCAGGGACAGCAAAGAAGTTCATAGACAGAAATGAAGCTTCTTCAGTATTTCACAAAAAATGTATTCACAGGGGGCGGAGTGATTGCCAAAAAGAGCGGATTATGTGTCGGAGGCCATGAAGCAAAAGCAGGGGCAAGCATTTCAGCTGGAAGAAAACATGACAATGATGACTGAACATACGTTTTCAACAAGAAGAAAAGAGGCTGCAACAAGAGTAAATAAGGGACCAACAAAAATAAATGAAGCTGCAGGGAGAGATTAAGGCACTGTTTGCTAGACTTGCCAGATGCCAAAATGCTACCACCGGATGCTGCGAAGGACCAACACGATCAACTATTCAAGAAGTACAAAGGTTCGTTCTCAAAGCACATTCGCGTATTGGTGTGATAGGAATGGGCAAGTTGTGATGCTGTTTTACCTGAAAGACGGGATCTCATTTCCATGAAGCTCGATGAGGAAACGTATCAAAATTATGCAAGTAATGCCCTGCTGAAGAAGCCACATAAAACCAATGTTGAAGAAACAGTCGGCAATCTACAGAACTTGCTGTTTACCTCGAAGAAAATACTCACCGAAGGTATGAGTGCCGAGTGCCTCAAGGTCATATCTCTGCCGCTAACGTCAATATATGTGCCCCCGGGAGCATGCGAATAGGAACTAGCGGACGAGCAAAGACGTTCGAATCAAAAGGCCTGAGTACGCGGCGATAAAATAGCTATATTTTGTAACGTTCTCCGGGATCATCCACTCCAGGGCGTCCACTTAGTCCCGTATGCACAAAAAATTCTGCAGCGGGGGAAGCGGCGTCTCCCAAAGACGAAAAAGCCGCAGCCACATTCGTCCGCGATCCCTCCATAAAGAAGGATGCCGCTCCTCGCGCAGCAGGGACTTTATGATTTGAAGATTAGAGATCCATAGAAACCCGTGCAATTATCAGTCGAAGGTCTCGTTAAAGATGTGACGACGTGAGAATCACATCGAGTTGAAAATGGACGGTACAGACATGCGCGATATCTTGTGTGAGAAAAATAAGAAAATGTTTTAGCATGCAGAGACGCACTAGAAAAGAAGCTGTCCTTGCCTCCTGTCTTTCGCACGAAATCATCCTCCACAGAAGAGGCAGTTTGAGAATGTAGGGTTCGATGCTGCAAAAGCGCGCAATCATCTTGCGTCTCATCGAATGATGTAGTAAACGCTTCCAGCTAGGAGTTAGCTCTGATTGAGTGATATCACGTGGGAGAAGATAGGATCTTTGGCCCTGGGACCGTGCGTCATGCGAGGAAGACCGCAGACGAGAAGCCGATGATGATACGCGGTAAACTTGCAAGTAAATTTTTATGAAAAATTGCGTAACAGGGAAGTTGATTTTCAAAAAGGGACGCGTTACAATAAGTTTCAACCCAGTTTAGGTGGAAACTGGATTGGCGGAAGTCTGCCACGCAAGGTTGCTGTTTCTTAGCTACTATGACATATCTGTTAACAACTCATGTCTGCGTCTCTTCATTCACACAAGTCTTTGTGTCACAAAATGGCAGGCTGTGCTCGCAAAGCCTCCATCGATGCGGACGCGTTGCTCCACGTGAAATGCTTCGCCTAGTCCGGGTTGACTGGGCCAACCATGCCTTCTACCACCGGGACCGGCAAATTGGTACCAGAGAGGATGATAAAAGCACTGATTTGATAAGGGGCTGGTCCCCGCAAGTCACTGTAATAGGCTCGCACGCACTCGGTAACCTTCTCGACTATGGAGTAGAGTCCGTTCTGCGCATGGCGGATCCTTTACGTTTTTTTAGTCCGGGTTGAAACAGACAGTACGTCACCGAAGAAACCAGTCTACTGGAGCTGGAGTGTTGTATTGTGCTACCAGCTTATCAGGAACTGAAGAACTAAAACTGCCGGAGGTGGTTCACAAAGAAGAAGCACGTCACAACGTGGCCGATTTGGAAAATCAACGCGAAAAACCCTTCAAAGGGACTAGGAAAATGTCCGAAGATCAAAGCAAAGTTATTCTCAAAAGACATGACAGTTTGTGTTTTTTAAAAGACACTAGATGGCAAACCCGGCTCCGCCCGGGGCCAAGCTTTGCACACATACACTTCGGGGCAGGGAGCGCAGCCTATGACACGCTCCCTGCCCCGAAGTATATGTGTGCCAAGTTTGGTCCCGATCGGTTCAGAAATAAAAATTTCTATTCCGCACATACGTACAGACATACATACAGACAGACATACATACAGACAGACATTCAGCTTTATATATAAGATTACAGTTTGTGTTTTCAAGAAGAAGAGGATAGCAGCGAATAAAAGCAGAAATCGATTGGTCGGTACCGCGGGAGCTATTTCTGCGACGAAATAAAGAGTGGACAGGACCCGTATGGTCGTCAAGAAGAAGAACATGCGAATCCGTTTATGTTTCGACTTTTCAAAAGGATCGAGTGATGCGTTTTAGGTGGACCAGCATCCTGTGCCCGCCGCGGAGGACTGTTCACGAACTCAAATGGAGGAAGCATTCTAAGATCGACTTGACGGATGCATATCTACAGGTTCAAGTCAAAGAAGCTTCCAAGTTGTTGACTGAAACAAGTTGTTGACGACCAATACAAATAAAAATTGTGTCGTTACAATCGCCTACCTTCAAAGTCGAATTGTCATGAGACACATTTCAGCAGGTCATAGACTTAGTATAGACAGGAAGGATTAGCCGCATACTAGGACAATATCATCGCAACAGGAAGACGGAGAGAGCACTGCAAAAATTCGTACGCGCTGTCCAGTTTAACGAAGTATACGGCTTCCACGTCGTTCCACGCTGGAAAAGTGCGACTTTCTGATGCCAGAGATTTGCTATCTTGGATGCATCATAAACAACGAAAGACGCCATCCAGACCCAAAACAGGTTGACGTGGTTGCGAAACCTCTACACTGACCAATACTGTGGAGTTGCGCCTTTGCTTGATAATGATCAACTACTAGGAATCGTTTATCGTCGAAATGCGTCAACTGCGAGCACCATCAAACAAGCTAATCAAAAGTGTTGCCCCTAAATGAACAGAAGAATGCTAGAAAGCATTCTACATGCCAAGGAAGTTCTCGCTTCAGATCTGCTCCTGATCAACTCGAATCCTCGTTTAAAGAACTGGTCGCTACTGATGCTTTGGATTATGCAGCTGGTGCAGTGTTGTTGCACAAAGTGCCGAACGATACGCAAATGCGATTTGCCGCTTTGACCGAAGTCTATCGCTATCGAAAGAAACCTCGGTGAAATCGAAAAAGAAAGAATTCCTCTGATATTCGCAGTTCCACCATTACATTGGATTGATTCAGTTTACTTACGGATCATCGCTGCTGCACATCGTTGGACCGAAGCAATGGTACACTGTACACCGCCGATTGATTACAGCACAGATGAGAGCTGATACTGCTGGCCTACGAAACTTACCTCAAATATCAGAAGACAACCGGTTCGAGCAAGCTGATGTTATCTCAAAGCTCATCCCTCTGAGACAACACCTTCGATATTTCAAAGACAGCGCCTCAAAAGTGAAGGTTGTTCGATTATCTGCCCCTCATAAGAACTGAAAGTTGTACTTATAAAACCAGAGAAGAAATTAAGATCCAAAACATTTAGTAAAAGCAAAAAAATTCCTTGAAATCGGATAGAAACACTGCAACAAGTTTGAAATCTTTCATTTGACGGCACTGCAGGTTTTCGCTCCAGGATCACGTAATCCACAACACGTGGGAAAACGAGAAAAAGCTAGTTTTTTCTTTGTGTTCATTCCAAAAACAACTATGTTTTGAAGTAACAAGTCTCAAGAGAAGATGAACAAGAATTTAGTTCTGAAAACGCGAGTTTTGTTCTTATCAACTAATGCGCGACAAAGCCAACCTAGTTTTTGGGCTTTCTTTGAATTTTTACCCTCGCATTGTGGTTTTCGTTTTCTGAGACGTTGTCTGAATTGTATCACTCATCATTCGGAGCAATAATCGTTCAAGCTGAAAAAAAATGCTGCGAGAGCACTGAAAAACAAGGTAAAGAAGAACGCACTTTTTACGATTTTTCGCAAAAAATTCCACCATAATCGAAGAGATAAGGGCTGGGTGGTTGTCTACATTATAAACAAAAGCAAGATCTATAGGATACACGAAAAAATTGCGTGAAAAGACTTAAACTAGGGGAAAGACAAGAGAATTTCTAAAGCAAAGTTTTTGCCGGATTTCCCGTTCAAATCAAAAAATGTCATTTTAGGACGTTGTCAGCGTGAAAGCAGAGATCAATAGCTTCAATATGATGTATAGCTTGCTAAAATTGGGTACAAAACAACGAAAAAAGGGTACCAGAGCCAAATACCAAATACCCCGTGCCTCACGCTTGAGGTAGCGAGGTAGCGCGGCGCGCGGAGACGCAGATGAGCAGCGGATACGCCAGAGCCGACGGGGCAATTGGCTCTGGTCGCTTCGCGGGATCCCAACGAAACCTTGCGACGTTATATACCACCAGTGCGTCACCTCTGCTTCGCAGAGGCTCGCACTGGCTCTACTATCTATGTGCCTTTCTCATTCTCGTAAAATGTAAATGTGGCTCTGGAACTCACCGCACCATGCTGAATACCGCGAATAAAATGTAAACAACTACTCATTTAGAAAGCTTATTCACTTGAAATCGGTGATTTCGCGTGTTTTTCGCAGGAAGACAAACGCAAATTTGAATAGGTTTTTGAATTTGTCATGGCTTGGTAATTCTCATAAAGGCAACATTCACCGTAAGCTACATCTTTGTGCGAAAATCTTCTTAAATGCTTGGCTAGAACCTTGGCAAATTGACAATTTACGCAACCATTCTTTTTGGCGCCGTTTTCGCATGTAGTAACTTTCGACCACTTCTCGGGATAATGTCCATCGCGCTCGCACTTTTGCTTATCAAATACATCCACGACTTCGCAAAAAGTGGATACGGGCCCAATTTTGCGGGACAGAAGCCAGATGGATCCGTTTGGCGCGCAATTTCTAAGGGGTCCACTCAACGAATCTATCCCTGCTTTTGCATTTTGGATTTCATGAAGGTTGCATGCGCTGTGCAATTTGGGCTTAGAACGCTGGCTAGAACACGCTCTACGAATCTCGTAACAGAGGGACACACAGACACACAAAAACACGTAAACAACCCTTAGCCCGTTATCATAAGGTCTTGATGCTCAGATTGTGGATTCAAACGAAACTCTGTATTATCGGGCTTTCCACAACCTTCACTGCAAGCCTCCAAAAAGCAGAGGTGACACTGGCATTTTTATTCTCATACGGACCCGTTCAGCGTTATTAGTCGCCAGTGCGTCAGCTCTGCTTCGCAGAGGCTCGCACTGGTTCTACTCTATATGCCTTACTTATCCTCGCCTAAAAATGGCTTTGAAATCCACCGCGCAATGCTGACTATCGCGAATAAAATGTAAACAACTATTCATTCTAAAAGCTTTTTTATGTAAAATCGGTGATTTCGAGTGGATGTAACTTTTCGCAGAAGAACAAATGCAAGTTTGAATAGCTTTTCAAACTTTTTTTTGGCTTGGTAGTCGCCATGAAAACAATAGTTACCGTGAGCTACATCTCTATGCAAAAATCTTTTTAAATGCTCAGGTAAATCCACGGCGGATTGACCATTTACGGGAACACTTCTTTTTGGCGTCGTTTTCGTAAAGTAGCAAACCTTTGGTCACTTTTTGGTCTAAAGTCCATGACTTACACATCAACCTGCTAAATACATCCACGGCTTTGCAAAAAGCGTTGATACAGACCTAATTTTGCGGGCCAGAAGCCAAGTGGACCCGTTTGACGCGCAAATTCTGAGGGACCCATCCAGCGAATCCGTTCGTGCTTTTGCATGGTGGAGTTCTACGTTGGTAGCATGCGCTATGCAAAATTTGAGCTCTGGATGTTGGCTGGAACCCGCTGTATGAATTTCGTTACAGACAGACAGACAGACACACACACAAAATCACGTAAACACCCTTAGCCCCTTATTATAAGTTATGATTCTGATCGTCATGACACAACGAGGAGCACTGACAACTTCCCAAGCGTTGAAAATCACTCATTGACGAGATAGATCAGCATTTACGTGCGCGAGTCTCGGTGCGAGATTTAAGCGCAGTTTCGCGTTTTTATTCAACTCCAATAGCTTTCTAAGCTAGTCAAATAAGAGGTTAGGTGAGAAATGTTGTCCTGAATTCCGTAAAACGTTCAGAGAAGCATTCTATTTAGCGTGGAAAGGGTTACTATATAAACGCAAATTCTTGATTTCGCTGAAATTCAAAGATATTATTCCCTATACTTGCTCCATTCACATTCATTCCGATATAGTCAGAATTATAACCAGAGCTTCGCCCCGGATGGCCTTTTGTTTTTTTTGGTAAAGGTAGTGTTTATCATAACGCTCAAAGTGAAGGTTACCAGAGTACATGGCTCTATTTATCGAGAGTATATCTGAGACTATATCAGACGGAAGGTATGATGATAACAATAATCAGAAATATTACGCGTGCTATTCAAAGCGTTGCCTTAAAAGCGCTAGTGATCAGCGACGCAAAGAAGTCTGAGTTCCACATAGACGAAGTCATCGCCAATCATAAAGTTGCAGAAGACAAGGACATGGTCAAACAAACCGAAGAACGGAATTGGCATTGGAGAGCACTGACCCAGACCCTGACAGTGCAAGTGGATGTCTATACTATGATCACAGGATAGCTACAATAATTGCTCGACAGCAGTCTCAAAGTAGTCACCTGAAGGACATCACGCACGATAAGGATAGAGTTGTTCGCAAGAGAACGCATACTGGAGGACAGTGGCGTCCAGGATTTCCATTCGGGAGGGGGCGAAAAAATTTTTGTGATGAAAGTGCGTAGCTTTAGCCACGCATTCCAAAAATATTTTGATATGCTTCGAACTTTTGTGGGCCCATAACTCCGAAGTTTCAGAAAAAGGGCTGCCTCCCCCCCCCACGAAAAAATTTTTCCAAAGCTGAGTTGTATTCTCCAAATTTTTTGTGAATTACATCAACTATTTACAAGTACAAAAAAGTCACCACACTTTTATGACTTGTAAGCAACTTTAAGAAATTCCGCGGCCCATTCCCGTGCCTTCCCTCCCCCCCCCCCACCTCGGCGAACCGCCACTGCTGGAGGAGTATCAATAGAGACATCAAGGAACAGTGCTCGCTTGAGCAATGGTTGACGCCTTAGTGATTTGAGACTCGGTGCTTCTCTTTTTCTCTTGAAAGCATTTGCTTCCAACATGAATTCAGAAACAAAACTTACGGTGTGGTACCTTCTTCTTCTTCACCTTTGCTTCTGCTTTCTACTTTGTTATCTAAATACCACTCTTAGATGATAATATATTTATACATATTTACACACTTATGTCTCGTTAAATCCCGAAAGTGTAGGCGTGAAAGCGCAGATATTTGTTGTCTTATACTCGTGGTAATTCTTTATAGCGAGAGAGTACCAGAAGAATAACTTGCCATTTATCCAAATCATGCCCTAGCCTCTTTGCAGTGCATGCATCGTATGATGCAACACATATTCAACTCAGTTTTGCTCTAATTATCAATTAATAAGTAAGCCAATAGTTGTTTACGAACGGAATTTACACCCGAAACCTTCATGGTAAAAATTTTACCGAAATTTGTTGATGGCGCTCAAATCTGCCCAAATTTATCACAAAAGAATAAAAAAAATTGCTGTTTTCAGTCAAAACACATCTATTAAAACTATAGATAACTAGCTAGCAAACCCGGCACCGCCCAGCCCTGTCAATAGTACAGGGTGCGGCAAAAGTCTGGGAGCCTAGTACTTTTTCGTACAAAACGAGAAGGGAAGTACCCAGAAACGGAAAATTTGGCGTACACATAATTCGAGCCATTGCAGATACAGCCCAGTTCTTGAATTGCAAAACTGTCTCTTTTGGCTTCCACGCAACCCTACAAAATCTTGGCAAGTCCACCTGTCATGGCACGCAGGTAATCGTGATGGAATTTGCCTCACACCTTCACAATAACTGCTTCATTTACCTTGGCAAATGCGCAGCGTGATAGAGCAAACATTTGTCTACAAAATACTACCAAAAGAATTTTTTGCATTGCTTAGGAATAAAAATATTGGATTTTCAATTAGAAGCACGTGTACGTCGCATAACGGAATTTTGGCTACAATTGCGCGAATAAAAACTTAAAAATATTGTTTAAAAAGTATAAAAAGTGTTCCCATGGACGAATTTCAATAGATTCTAATTTAAAAGACGTATGCAATAAATACAGCCTTGGTTCTAGTGCCTGTTGAGCACCTGTCTATAGCTTTTAAATTTGTTCTGAAGACGGACTTCCACTGGCACGTAGTTAACATTCGCAAACTTTTATTTTCCGTTCATGCAAGAACAGCTCCTGGCAAAAGCAAAACTAGGATGCAATAGCGCAAAGCCTCTTCTATGTTGTGTGCAGCGAAGTTTTGTAAAATATTAATCAACAGCATCTCTAGTTACAGCAAAAATTGTAAATACTAAAAATTGTGGTTTTTTCGCTTTGCAAACGTACTAGTTTGGTAATTTCCATTCTTACAAAAAAATATGGCAGCCATTTCCAGCCAAATAAAGTGTATTCTGTAGAGGATGACCGCAGCATCAAATGGCATGAAATTGAAATCAAAACCATCAGTATATTTGTAATTGCAGTACTGCAAAGTTAGGCTCCCAGACTTTTGCCGCACCCTGTATATTCATATTCAGCATACAGTATGTGTCATTTACTATTTCCTTTCACCGAGGAAGTACGCATGCGCAACGCAAGGGCTGCATGCTGACCTCCGATCAATAAGGCCAATTCGAAAGCCCAACCATATGCGCGCGAAAGTCTGACGCGGCGATTGCGCGCATAGAAAAGGGACACGTGATTGACACTAACTGTACTCACTTACTTACTCCCTGTGCTAACTCCCAGCCTCGTAGATGAAGTTTGCAAAAAAAATCAGTAATATCGACATCGATCAATGACGAAAAGTCGTCTACTAGTTTGTCACTTGCCCCACCCCAAAATGTATTTGTGCAAACTTTGGTCCGGAACGGTCCAGAAATAATAACGTCTATAACAACTGTCTCTGGGTGCACAATCCAGAGATCGCACCCATAGAATTTGGGTAATCTGTTTTGCGAATACCGGCACGCTCGACTTTTGTGTTCCGTGCCCGGTAAAGTGGCCTTTTGTGGGTTCCGGAATCCACGGAGCAGGCTTAACTCACTGGGTTCCGTAGCCCATTAGTTTCGTGAATACCGGTTTCAAGGCTGCCCAATGGGTTCCGAATTCCAGAGGATTCGTTGATGGATACAGGCACTTCATACGTTAAGTCCAGTAATATGCTTAATTTCTCAAAGTTGTCAAACTGCTTTTCAAAATGTTTGGCCTTGGCAACTATTTATGGTAAAGATTCCCGAAGCTGGACGGGAAAACTGTGTCAAAAACAGCAACTGGCTGAAGGAGACTTTAGAGGTGAAGCCATTTCACCAATTTTGGAGCAATTGGATTGTTGGCTCACGCAGCGAATCGCTATTCAGTTGAGATCCTTTGTTCAACCTTTTCAACAATCTCGAATCCCAGAAAGCGCATCAAAACGCTTTTTTGACAACTTCAAAAATTCCGACGCAGTCCTCACTCAGTGCATCCAGAAAGCCAAAAAGGGATGAAAAACTTGCGCTTGCTGTTTTTTTAAACCGCTGCTTTCAAAGTAACAGGTGAGAGACTGTGGAGAGGTTGTGCAGTTTGGACAGCAGCTTATCATTATCAGTATTATCGAAGAAGTAAAAGCAAGCTAGACTTGACGAATTAATAATTAATTGATTAATTGTGACTATGATAAACAAAACACTTCATAATCAAGCACTTTGAATGGCGTTTATAAAAACTTCCGTTCTGCAAAATCTGCAAAGGAGGAAGCAGTTTGCAGCATCGAAGAAAAAGCAGGTGCGGTTGGCTCAGTTCCACTGGTATTGTGAGCGTAGTCACGATATTGATAATTCGTCCATTTTCTGCTGTCTGCATTCAGCTTACAGAATAATCGATTACTTACCTTCCGACTCTGACGGCATCCTTGGTTCAGATGCGTGATCCCTGAAATAAGAAACCGGGATGAGCTCCACTTTGTATTTGCACTTTGCATATATATGCCTACCCTGACTGATCTCTTTTGGAGGATTCCAAGACCTTCATACTATCCATAGTCATTCTATCAGCTGATATTCCGTAGACCTTGTTCAACGCGATATCTTCCCTGTTTCTTCCAACTGCTTCCTCTACTGTCCTTGTATCCACCTTGACTTCTCCATCACTTTCTTTCTGCACAGTAGTTTTTGAATCAGTACGATGTTATAGATTATTTGTTTTAAACTATCAATTATTAGCTTAAACTCGCTCTCCAGCGAAAATAACCTGTGTTAGATGCGACAGTATTGCATACTCACGTAGTTGAATCCCATGAAAAAGCAAGCAATTGCTGCCGTTACAATAACTGCGACAATGACGACAGCCACAAATATCCAAATCATAACGCCTTAAATGGTAATTTAGACGAGCCTTCATGCAAAACTCAATTGGGCCTTTATGTTGGGTTGGCGCAAAGTAATCGCATCTTCCCAGTAACTTTCTTCCATCAAACTTTTCTTATTGGAATCGCATACTGTAGGCTTCTTTCGCGCTTTTCCAAAAATGGTTTGATCAGAATTCCCGTTGAAATTTACAACCTCAGGGATCAAACTCGCATGAATGCAATTTTCGAAATATAGCTACTGCCTAGTAGGAGTGTCAAAACTGCATAGCTGACAACATTTATTGAGACTGATGGACGCCCCAAATTGATAGTCACTGAGGCATTCTAGGCGCTGAGAAGCTCTCCAAAAAAAGGTGAGTACCAAAGCTTGGCTCGTCTCTCCAAGCCTAGAATAAGACATCTGCTAACACTTTTGCAAAGAGACGTAGGCTTTGGTTATACATTACCTTCAAACAATGTTACCCGTATTACCAGTGTTAGCCGCGTTCCAGTGTTATCCGTGTTACTGATGCTACCCGTGTTAGAACCCCATGCGTTTCACGCCTGCTCAACGGCCTGTAGTAAAGTAAACCCCCCTCGAGTTGTGACGACCCGCTCGGAGCGCGTCAAATGCCCGGCAAATGCCTTTTTGCTGCCGCCCCATAATAAGAGATAGGCGACGTGACCAAGGCTATGCTCGGCGTAACGCCGCGGCAACGGCGGCAAGGCCGCCGACACGACAAGGCAGCACCAGCGTGCCCATCATGCAGACAGCCGGGAGATAGTGGTCTTGATTGGAGACGCAAAGAGGTCGTGGTGCCGACAAATGACTAGCGGTCGAGCAGGTACGTCCGGGGTGGTGGTGCCGCCCGCTGTCCATAGATGCACGCAAAGTATCAAAATGCAGTAAATTACAATCAATATGAACAGCTGATAGCGCACAGTCGCGAGCATAGGTGCGATAGGGAAAGCCGGGCTCTCCCCAGGTGAAGGGGGTCTCGGCTGTTCCCGACCTTCCAGGGTGAAGGGGGTATGTGAGTCTAGGGGGGGGGGGAGGAAGAGAGAAAAGGTAAAAAAGCGTGTTATGAAGAGCTCTAATTTGCACTTATTTAGGCACAAATTCAAAAAAAATTTTCAAATTTTGAAAGAAATTAAAAATTTTTAAAAATTGACTTTATGAAGATCTGTGCTCCTGTTTCATTGCTTCAACAAAAAACGAAAGCAATAAGGTTTATCCCAAAAGATGTACAAGTTAGGAACAACTTCAATTCCTGCACATCATCATCAACAATATTACTATCGCTAACGTCAGAGACAACAAGTTCGCTGCCTGAAAAATCTTCTTCTTCCTCCAAATCATCGGAGTAGAAGTAGAATTGCGTGCAAAAGTATTCTGAGTCAAAGATGGATTTGAAACTTTCTTCTTTTTCTAAGCGCTTTTGTGATTTTTTTCCTGGCCCTCTGGTAGCACCAGGAAAGTCCGCAGGTAGGTGACCAGTTTCTTCATACCATCATTTAGGATATTTCAAAAAGTCATACGGTAATAGCCTGTATGGACCACTTATACCAATCCTTTAAACGAAGTTTTTAGATGACAATATGTTCAGTAGAAGGTTGACAAATTAAGTAATTGCTTAGATGCTCCATCGTTATACGACCTCTGCGTTGTGTTTTGATAACAGAAGATGGAAAACTTCTTTCTCCACCTCTGCCGTGCTAGTCGGAATGGAAACTAGCTTTGCTAGTAAGTCCATCGAATTTTTGCGGTAAGTAATGGGGGAAGAGCGATATCGCATATGCTTTCGCAGCGCAAGAAGGGAATATTGCATACTTTTTTGGGCCTTGTCAAACTCTGGCTTCACCTACTCTAGCATACGTCCTGTTAACTGATGAGAAAGCTGCTCAACTTCTTCTTTAACAGCATCTGCGGAATAGCCGAAAAAAGAAGATACTATGCTGCGCGTTGGTTTTTTTTCAATATCATAGGTCATAATGTCACAAGGCGAATAACTTCCAAAAGCATAAAGCACAGAGTTGGGTTCGTACTCCAGCCGGGATCTAAGAGCAGTAGCTATGCTTTGTACTAACACCTTCCTTTTGTTCATATCCATGTTTGTGAATTTAGCAGCTTTGAAATCTTCAGCAACCTGAAGATCAGCAATGGACTTCCTGGACATTCTCATTGAAACTAGGCAATCTACTTGAATTCCTTATGTAGGAAATCAGAGAGTTTTGCTCAATTGTCAGCTCTGCATCAATGTTGACAACATTTTCGTCGGCGTAAGATTCTCCTTCTGCCTCGCTGTTGAACTGGAACACATGCGAGTCATCTGCGATTTTGTAAAGTATTCTGCCTGCCGTTTCCTCTTCAAACTGCCAACCTTTCCAAAACATTGAGGGGTATTTTAATAACATGTTATTTTTCTGAATGTCTTAAAGTTTTTGATTCATTGAAACCAACCATTCTCTACAAATTAGGTATGGTGAGTCTGGAGCGTTTTCACGAAAGTAACCTTCTTCAGCGCTAGGTTTACAGAGCATAGATTTCAGAAATGGGCGGATTTTTGTGTGAAGGTGTGGAAATTCACCAATCTCCCATAGTTTTTTTTTTGAATGTGTGCCAATAATGATGGCATAGCTGTCAATCAAAAGCGCATTTCTAACCAAAAAAACATAAACATACAACAACGATAAGCACAGTTAAATAGATGCATTAGCTCACTTTCTCGTTAGTGCTGATAACGATGTCAATCCATAGCACATTTTTACTATTAACTTGCTTCACCTCGCTCTTATTGGGTCGTCCCGAAAGTTTTTGCGCACGATTTTCAAAAATTCATAACTTCTGATTTCTCCATCCGATATTTGACTGCTTTCACTTTTATGTGGAAGGGTAAGTCATCTTCTTTATACTGACATCTCAGTGCTTAGTAATGGTCATCTGTTGCATAGATAGGAGCGATAGAAGAAAAATGGTCAAAATTTGAAGTTTCTGTGTAGGGTCATAAAAATTCGGAGACTTGCAACAAAAATTGGAGCAGTCAGTATTGTAGATTCTTTCACCAGCTCTCTCTCTAACAGTGCAAAGTTTGCGCCAATTGAGCGTTTCTATGGAAAGTTATGATTTCCCTGAAAAATGCCAAACTAAACCAAATTCGCCCTTTGTATTGCTTGCTCGAAAATCATATCTTTTCATAGAGACCCTCAATCAGCGCAAACTTTGCACTGTTAGAGAGAGCTGGTGAAGGAACCTACAATACTGACTGCTCCGATTTTTGTTGCAAGTTTCCGATTTTTTATGACTCTACACGGAAAATTCAAATTTTGACCAATATTCTTCTATCCCTCTTACCTATGCAACAGATGACCATTAGTAAGCACTGAGATGTCATTATAAAGAGCATGACCTACCCATTCACATAAAAGTAAAAGCAGTCAAATCGGTTAGAAAAATCAAAAGTTATGAATTTGAAAAATCGTGCGCAAGAACTTTCGGGACGACCTATACAATGTGTTGGCTTTTATGGGTCACCGGAGCAAATGATTTTTAGAGCCGGGAAGCAAAGAAACCCTAACATGCTGTATACCATTCGAAAGCTGAGATCATGGAGAATCGACGTAGGCCGTCGACTTTTTTCCTAGTTTTTCTGTGCCGGGAGATATGAGGGATTTTATGTGCTTCAAAAATTAACTGATTTTGTGTCCTCACTTTCTGCTCTCCACATGAATGCTACGAGAAAGTCGACGGTTTACGTTTCTTAATGAAGACTTGCTCTACCACAAAGATAGATAATCAGCAGTGATTAGGTCTTCGTTTGGCAGAAATCTGCTGTTGAAAATGACCATGTTTTTAGATAAAATGCGGTGTATCTCTCGGTAGAGGGGGGGGGGGGGCTAGAAAGAAGTCGACGGTCTAGGTCGAATCCTCTTTTCCTGAGCTTTCGAATGGTATATACGTTGCTGGGCGAAAAAACTAACCAGTTCTCAAAAATGGGGTGGAGATATTTACTATTAGCTTGCTCCAACTCAGCTCCACCAATGTGTTGGCTTTTATCGGTTACCGGAGCAAATGATTTTTAGAGCCGGGAAGCAAAGAAGCCCTAACATGCTGTATACCATTCGAAAGCTGAGATCATGGACAATCGAAGTAGGCTGTCGACTTTTTTCTAGGTCTTCTGTGCCGCGAGATATGAGGGATTTTATGTGCTTCAAAAATTAACTGATTTTGTGCCCTCACTTTCTGCTCTCCAAATGAACCGAGGATAAATAAATAATATAAATTAACATAAATATCGTTTCTTTTGTAAATTTATGAGTGTACTTGTTGCTTGAGGTACTTAGCCTGCAAAAACCTTTTAATGACGATTTTTATCATATTTTCAGAGCACAATACCAATCTCGGCCCAGGTGAAGGGGGTCATCGGGAGTTTGGCCTCAAAGTGAAGGGGGTACGATCTATCACTCCCCCTATCGCAATTATGGTAGCGAGGCGTACAGCTAATCTTATTCCATTTGCTGCTATTATTCTCTGTGTTTTTTGGGTTCATGTCCTTCTAAACCTCTCGTCCTAGCGCTAATTACTCTGCCCCGGCCGCGCTAATTACTCCGCCTTTCCTATAATCTATCAGTTTTTTCAAATTTTTCTGATCTCGAAAGAAATCGAGGCACACGAATAATGATAGTGACGATGTTTGAATTATGAGACAAAAAGTTGGTTTCGTGATTTCTTCGCCCTTTCCACTTTTCAAAACACCATGAAGTCTGCACATGTAAGCTGAAGAATTCACTTAAAGGCACCGTCCACCCTAAGTTGAGGGTGTTGAGCACTTGGCAGCATATAACAGTAGAGCCTCCTATCAAGCCAATGCCCAAGTCGCGGCGCAAAATGCCGCTTCGGAAGCGAGAAAATCGCTTGGGAATAGCGAAGATGCACGAGGACCCCCATCCACGCCCGCCCTCCCCATCCATGCCCGCCCATTTGTGCGCGCTCATCCAATCACCGTTCTGGAAAGCCGGTTT